AATCTGAATCTGAATATTCTACCCATTAATATGTTTATACAAGTGTATAATCGCTATAAAAAAAATTTGTTTGGTTTTCGTAGCCTTATAATTATGCTTTTATATATATATATAGCAAGGGCCTTGCTTTAGAGAGGTCGCCATCTTGCGCCGCCATGTATGTAAGGCAGCCCGAGCGGACAATCCAGCCAGCCAGAGAACGTGTTTCGCGTGTATAAATGAACCAACGAAGACAGCGGAAGGAAGGAAGAAGGAGGAGGAAACAGCAGAGAGTGTTAGTAGTTCGTCGATAGAGAGTAGTGAAAAGTTTTTTTAGTTATAAAGTTTGCGAATGGACCACACGCAACAGGAGAGAATGAACCCGAACAGTCATCTGCGAGGAAAAGAAGACGCAGCTTCACTCCTTGTGATGCACTCTCTGCGGCGCTTTTCCTCCTGGTGATATATCTCCCAACGATGGTAGCAGTAGCACCGAATCCCATTCTGTGCATTCAGCCTCTCTTCTCACCCGCTCAGCATCAAACACATAGAGTTCCTCATCTGTGTGCTCCGGCTCAAACAGGTATGGCTCTGGGTCTGTGTCCGCTACAAGAAACTCTTCAAAATCGCGTTCAAAGTCGTCCATTGCAGCTACTATAGTCCGGAGATATTGCTAGGCTAAATAAACAGCTGAGCTCTGTTTACTGGCTACACTGTCAGTCAGTGTGCGGGCTGGAGATTGGCAGAGCAGAGAGGGAGGGGGTCCCCACTCAGCATGGTAAACGAGTATGTGTGTAAAGTTATGGAGTGTGTGTGTTACGCCAGAAGAGTTTCTGGAGTGCTCAAATAAACGGGCCTTTTTCCCGAACGCTCCTCTGGTCTCCTGCTCGTGAGGGATTCATTACAATATCGTAACATGGTTTAGATTTCTAAATAAACATTCACCTCGTTGCTAGATAGACCTACTCCTGAAAAACTCGTGCGCAAGGCTTTTTGTCCCTACGAGGCCACCGTCATTTTACCCGACGGGAGGGGTGAGCGAGTGAGCCCTGCAATCTAGAATTTGACCACTGATGTCACTGTTTTCAACCCATTTTACACACTGGCCCTTTAAGATGATGGTTAATAATCTTAGCGCAAATTTGGTGATGATATTGTAATTTAGTTTTAAGTCCAACAGGCAGCTGAGTCAGGCTGTTCTACAGTGCAGCATAACACGAATCACTGATTTAAGAAACAGGGGGATAACCTGGCTGCTATAGCTCCAGAAGATCGAAATAAGTGACAGGAAGCAACTTGTTTTAGTGATACATTTGTGTGCTGGGAGGCAAGCACTCTCATTAAAGTGGTTCTGCAAAAGAAAACGCCACAGGAACATGAACAGCTGTATGTTACTGCGTGATTCAATGTGTCGTGATAAACAAAGACATTTATAATTTGATAGTTAGTGCCCTGGAGGTGAAGCCTATTACAACAGAACCAAAGAAGCTTGTGTGAAGTGGAACAAAGCAGTACATTAGTGAAGTCAGTATTACTGGTGAATGCCAAAGGTTAAAGATGTGGCAAATCAATTCCAACCGGCCATGTCTGAAAACGGATCAATATAGGGGGCACCACAGTCCTGAGGTGGAGTCCAGGCTTTTCCGAGGTGCGTTCACAAGTTGTTTTATTGGCTTTAGATCTTTACAACAATTCACTGAAAAAACAAAGCAGGCGTGTCTTATTGTATGATCACAATCTTTGTCAAAACTTCTCATTTTCAGTGTGTAAGTTGTTCGCTCGGATGTTGTAGGTTCCACTTAGAGAAGGGAGTGTATGAATGAATGTACTTTGTCATCATACAGGTCTGAGTGTAAATGTGATTCAGAGGGATTCAACTCATGCAGACTACACAGGGTGCAAAAATTCATCCTAACACAATAAGTCAATAAACCAGGATAAGAGCAGTGCCATAAAAAGTTAATTTAAACTCTGTACACAGGACCTAAATCCTGTCGGATCTATAACATGTCAAGTTTTCCAGGCTGCTCCTAAAGAACATTTCAGCCACAGCAGACATGGACTGTCAAGACAATCAGACAATCTGAAATTAAGTGTTTCATTTTCCTTTATATACAACAAAAAGAAGAGTTTGGTTAGAACACATCTGTGGTGCCCACTAGCTCACCTGGTAGAGTGGGCGCCACATGTCCTTGTTGCAGCAGCTGGGGGTTCAGCGTGGTTCATTCCTTTCACTCTACAGCTTCCCTATCCAATATAGGCAAAATGCCAAAGAAAATGATCTTAAAACAAAAGACATGGTCATGAACACAATATAGATCAGTAGGTACGAGTGGTTGTTTTGTAGAACAGGATGATTTTTGCTGTTCAAATGTGACCTTATAAATTCCAGGTGGGTGTAATCAAACTTTTCTGTGTATTCATCTGTGGACGGAAAGGGTCAGCCAGAAGCCTTCCGCTTGTCCTCTCATTGATTCAGAGAGCGTGGGAGTTATTTGGATCTCTGCTCTTACACACCAGTCATTGACGGTGTAGACAGAGCAGCAATATCCGCTCGCAGGGCGTACGCTGTTCCCAAGTCCAGTCCACTTACACAGGCGCATCAAACATTCAGTTTTCCCCTGGGACACACACACACACACACACACACACACACACACACACACCACTGACCATTTGTATGTCAGTTACTCACCCCATGTTAGGCTGAATTCAGGAAGAAAAGTGTAGGATTTTGCACACAAATGTTCTGATATAGTTTTGCCCTCCTTTTACTCCAGTTCATCCCGAATTTGCTTAGTTTTTGGATTCTTCGTTCACCATGGAGGCGTGTGAGAAACACAGTTTAAGCTAAAATTCCATGTAATACGCAGTGAGTAATTTATATACAAATGGTCATTTTGTGTGTAAAGGTTTCCATTAATGCATCCAGTATAACCAGCTGCTATGTTGTGTGAAACTGGGACGTACTGTTCCTTGTGGCAAATCCAATTTTGAGACTGACTGGGTCAACTGGTACAGAGTCTTCCCTGTTAAATCATTAGCAAGGGGCTTTTGTGACATTAATAATTAATTAGTCACTTACTTACCACAGTAAACTTGTTTATTTTAATGTTTGTTTGTTTTTTTCATTAAATAACCACCAATGAGAAGACTTCATTTATTAGGGTCCGGGCAGCTAAGCTGCCAGGACACTATTGTAATCCTAGATATTCTTCTTCTTCTTCTTCTTCTTTCTTCTTCCGAGGAAATCATACTTCCCATGGGTGAAAACTCACCAAACTTTGCACAAAGGTCCAGTCTCATGCCAGATATCCTCAGCTGTAAACTCAAGCCAATAGTCCTGATGGTGGCGCTACAGCAAGCGTCTAAAGTTCAAAACTTTGAAAATTCATAACAAATCAACCATACGTGCTACAACTTCACAACTTTCATCAAACTGTAGCCCCAATACTGAAGAAACTTTTGTACATTTAAACCTATTAAAAATTATGAAGTTCATCACTCTGTTTTTTTCAAAAACTGTAAAACTTCTTAAACCTATCTCCTCCCACAATTTTTGCTCAATTGACACCAAACTTGCTACAGAGCATCTTCAGACTGTCCTACAAAAACTATGTTTCTCAGATTTTTGATTTATCAAAAATTGAGCCTACAGTGCATCAAAATGTTTGACTGTAAACGGTACTGTAAACATATACATGCAAATTCTTGCTAAATAAATCTTCAATGTTCATGAAAAAATGACAAAATTCTAGAGTCATGGTAGATGATGTGTGGCAAATTTCAGAATTTTATCTCAAAAACTGAATTTTTGACAGCATTTTGAATTTTGCTCTAAGGTGAACAACTGGAGTCAATGTAAAATGGAAATTTTAAACATCAGTTTTTCACTTATGGAGCAAATCAATCATTGTTACAAACAAATTACCAACATCTCCATGCTGTCTAGTTGCAATATGTGTATTTTCAGATTTTTGTATTAATAACTGAATTTTTTACAGTGGTTTCAAATCTGCCTTTCCATGCACGGATGGCTGCTTTCCTACACAACAGTGAATGGCTTACTCAACGTGTGAAGCCACTGTTGAGTTGCTACTTGCCAATTAGCTCAGAGTGGTAGATGACCGTCTTAGGTTCCAGAGGTTGGGGGTTCAAGCCACAACTGGTGCAGAATCCACATTGTAATGTAAACATCTTCCTGTGCTCCAGTTTGCTTAGAATTGCCTGAGTGTGACTCATCAATGTTCAGCATCTACAAGTCTTCTTCCTGCTAGAAAATCTGCCTTCTCATGCTTAAAAATAAACCAAACGTTGCACAAAGATCCAGTGTCAATACTTTAGTGTGAAACCATCTGAGGCTTCTCACTTTGCACATAGCTCAACTAGTTAAACATCAGTTTTTCACTTATGAAGCAAATCAATCATTGTTAAAATAAATTACCAACATCTCCATGCTGTCTAGATGCAATATGTGTATTTTCAGATTTTTGTTTCGTTAACTGAATTTTTTTACAGTGGTTTGAAATCTGCTTTTCCATGCATGGACGGCTGCTAAACCTGCACGTCTGGCTTAGTCAATTTGTGAAGCTACACATGAGTTGTCACTGACTAATTAGCTCAGTGAGATAGAAATTGATTCTTAGTCTCAGAGGTTGTTAGTTCAAGCCTCAGCTGATGCAGATTGTGTTGCTAAATTCCTAAATGTCTTCCAATTCTTCAGCTTGTTGCTCAGAATTGCCTAAAAATGCCCGGACCCCACCCATCGCTGCGCAGCAGCTATAATTATTCTATTATATTTGCATCCAAATATCTCATGTTGACACTTTCAGTCATTTGATAAGATGAATAAGAATGATGCTGCCAACTGTGTGTGCGTGTGTGTGTGTGTGTGTGTGTGTGTGTGTGTAGGGGTTGTATGGGGGTTTGGGTGGCGGGTGGAGCTCTAATTGGATTACAAATGAGCTCAAGGACTATAATAATTGAGACGGAGAGGCTACTGAGCGGAAAGACATACTTTGATTTGGCATAGAGCTCCTTTGATACCAACTGTTGAACAGATCACTGCTTTATACTGTCGCATCAGATCAAGATATTTCAACGCTGCTACCAGGTGAGACTTTCATGATATTATCATTAATTTTTTTATAGCATATTGTGATAAAGCAGTCTGATGGCATTACGACAGGTTAGTCTGTTTATTCAGAGAAGACAATGATATACTGTACCAGCCTGTTTTCTGACTAAATCTTTTTGATTTATTTTGTCATATAAAACTTTGTATGATTTGTTAGATGAATAATTTTTATGTTGGGCCATTTTATACTCATGATGGGTCCAATTGTAACCTCCTGATAAAAAGAAAGGATCCTATGGAATGAAAAATTGCGTAATTTGTTACAGACTCTGACTCTGGTTACATTTCAGTTAAGCAGTTGTTGATTTCCAGAAGAATTTCCTTTCCTGATAACTATGTATTTATCTTTCATTTATTTTAACACAGTTGTTCATATATTTAGAATTTTATGCATGTCTTCAGACAAATTGCACATGTTTGTATGTTTTGCTTATCTGCTGTGAATTTACTAAAAAACTTTTTTTAGTTAAGTCATTTAATTGGACTCAGTTTTAGGATGCATTTCACACTTTTCCTATTCTATTTTCTAATTAAGTGTGAAATCATTAAGTTCTTTCCAGGAATTTCTTAAGAAATACGTAGAAAAATGGAAACACGTTATAATAAAGGTAGAAAACACACATGTAACTAATGCGTCATGATGCACTGATGCATGAACGAATGCAGGATGTAACAAGAGTTGCTTGCCCTTGAGAAATGATCACATCACAATGAGCTGATGTGATTAGTCACACTTACTGGTTCAGGAAATGACTGTTTCTTCACACATTAATATCTCTACCACTGAATTACAGTTCCTGTTCTCAGAGAAAAGTGAAGCTGTTTTAATCAAGCAGGTAGCACAGACGTAGATTTGTTACAACATAGTGAGAGTGTATCCAAACACAGGACACTTAAAAGCAATGAGAGCTTGGGAATGCAAGCCTGGGGGAGCTTGGGTAGGTAGCTGGGAAACTGGTGCTAGGGCTCGATGCTGACGAGACAGGGAACAGAAACAGGGAGCTGAGCTGAGCCAGAGCAGACAGAGCAGCAGGAAACAGGAGACAGGGTTAGGCAGGGGGAAAACACCCAACAACAAGCAAACAGGATAAATGCAGGTGAGATGCTGGAAGCAAAGTACACTGACAGGTAGCAGAGACAACGATCTGGCAATGAGCTAATGGAGAACCAGAGTAGAAACACAGTGGGGTTGATGAGTTGATGGAAGGCAGCTGCAGTGAGGTGAATAAGGCGTAATCAGGAGGGAGCGAGAGTGCCAGGAAAAAGTCACACCCACACCTCACATACACAAACACACATAGACTGATAGAGAGAGACAGGAGACACAGAGGAAGAAGGAAACAGAGAAACAAATATCTACATTTAGAACATGTGCATGAACGAGGACAACAGGTCTATGTTAAGAAATATGAAGTGTATAAGGTTCAATTAACCCATAATGTAATATCCTAATAGAGGCAGGGCTGTAGGAGGCTTTAGATGTAGTACTCCACAGTCAACGATACTGCACTGCTATGTAAATTAAGAGTGGTAAAATTAAAGAGCATTACAAGACAAGCAGACAACTGTTTGATGGAGGAGAGGCTGTGATTGTTGCAGGCTATCAGGCTGATTGATCGGATGAAATTAATCACGATGCACTTAATGTACTGGTTCAGTTATAGATGTAATGAGAGTTAATGGAGGCTTTCAGCTCATAATGGCCTGTGTGAGTCTGGACATTGGTCATTTAATCACTGTCATGATTTTAACTAAAGTATGAAAATAAAATATGTGACACTGGTAAAAACTTGGTCACAGACATGCTGAGTGTGAGCAATATGATGACAAGACAGTGTCACAGGGAAACTAACTGCAGTCTGGTTGTGTGTGTGCTTTTTCTGCATTAAATCTGACTTACATTTCAGAGGGATGGAGAAGACTCCAAACTGCTACACCCTTGCTTCACTGGTCGCTTTAGTCGTCCTCGTCTTACTTCCTGCGAGGTCTGGATGTGAGGAAGACACCTACAAATCACTGACAGAGGTAAGACCTTTATAGTGGGAAGCTGAGATGTGCATTCACTCCCAACAGGCTAACAGGTGATGTTTTGTCTTTCAGGCTAAGCTGGAGTGCTGCGCTCGAGGAGCTGCTCCGTTGAAGAGATTTAAAGACATCGACTATGACAGCTTTGTGGGTCTGCTGGGAAAGAGAAGTGCTGCTCAACCAAACAGTGAGTTATTTCTTTCAGGAAACACTTCTTCCTTTGCTGCTGTCTAAAGCTGAACTCTTTTTGCAGGTGACAGAAACTCCCAGATGCCATGAGCTATAAACCAGTATTCATTATTTTGATTGTACTTACCTCACCTATGATACTGAAGCTTTATGACATTGTATTTCATTGTATCTTAACACAGGACACATGGACCACGTCCTCGCAGATCTGTTGTGGCGGAGAACAGGTGAATGACTTCAGCAACACAGAGAGCAATTCATTTAATACAAGAAAGAAAAACTCCCAGTACTGCTGACCTGATAGAAGCCAAGGATGGTCATGCTTGTAATTTTTTTTTCAAAGATATACTGCGCAGGATTTTCCCTAAAAACAATATATAGACTCATGCAGTAGTAAGTAGTTAAATCGACACATATGACGCACTAGAAGCGTGTGGCAGTGTATTTCTCTGCAGAGACTCTGCCCTCTGTCTGTGTTTTCTTATGCGTTCAGGGCTTTCATCCACAGAGCTCAGGTGAGGTCAGGACTTTATAAAGACATAGTGATCAGGTGCCAGACCACAAGCAGCATGCATCCAAGAGACACAGCACAGGAATATGCAAATATAGCAAGGCGAAATGCAAACAAGAGTGAATCTGGGGTTGGCTTTTAATTTCACTTTTGCTGATACGTGGAACTGGTTTGCAACAATCCTTCATATTATGCCTTTATCTCATCTCGAGATAACAGAGCTTGTTTTCTTGTGATAACGGGTCAATTTCTTGAGATAAATTCATCATAATGTCTCCTTAAATGATGACTGGTCTGAATTTAAGACACAATGCAGTTTCTGCCTGTGTTAGACCTTGATTGAAGTACAGCTGATCAATAATAGGTACTCCTTAATCTGACTTTGTAGTCCATTTAGATTTCCTAAATCTCCATTATAAACCAGCCTGCTGATAGAGGACTGACCAGTAACCTCTGATGATGATGGTGAGCTGCTCCCTCGCTGACCTCTAGCTTGCTTGGCGTTACGTTTCTTGGCTGAAATTTAACTTCCAAAGTATCATGTGTTTGTTTTTATCACACAGTGCTCACAGAGGTCAGTGCAGCTCGAGGAAAAGCTCAACAATTTTTTGGCACACCTTCCATATGCACTGTTGAACTTAAACACAACATTCACATGAAGGTACTTTGTAGTCAACATACAGGAGCTGAAAATTAGAGTGGTTGAAGTTGCGGCCCAGTATTAATATACTTATGTATTATTTTGTATTAATATATAGCTACTTGTTGTGTGTAATCATGGTTTAATACATTTAAAACCTGTTTTTCTTTCAACAGAGATGGCTTGTCCATGTGACAGGGCGTATGTACAGACGAGCAGAGGCTAATTCATCAATAACGGAAAGCATTGGTAAGATCTGCATCCTCCCTGAAATGATAAAATTAAAATCCTTGCTGCTTAAAGGGACAGTTCACCCCAAAATCAACAACAGATGTTTTTCCTTTTACCTGTAGTAGTATTTATCAATCTAGATTGTTTAAGTGTGAGTTGCCAAGTGTTTCCGAAATAATGGGACTCGATGGCACTATACATTTGAAAAACTCGGCAGCAATGTCTCTTTCCAGAAATCATGAACCTCTCATCTATGAGTAGACGCATGCATCCTTCTGCAGAGATACAGTTGGCGGTTGTTAGAGGTATGACTGAAAAGTTTTGAGCCTTGAGGAAACAAAACAAGATATAGATTTTTCAGTGCTTCTATTTTTTAATCCCCCTCAAAGGCAACACACTTGCTCAAGCGGTGCTAAAGCGCCTTCATCCCAGTGTAAAAGAACTCTTCAGGTTGGGACCCTACACACTCTTCCTGCCACACTTGAATTCTTGTACCCAGCGTTTGACTGTGGCATATGAAAGGGCATTGTCAGGTTAAGTATTGAGCATGTCTTGGTGGATTTCAGATGGTGACATTCCTCTCAGATGAAGATATTTGATCACACCGGGATACTCCCAATTTCTCCATTTTTAACAAATCACTGACCACTATTCACTTCAAAAACTTTCAAAACTAAAACAAAAAGAGATTCAAACATGGACATGGTCAGTGATGATATGGAAAGGTGGTAGATTATAAAAATATTCCGGGTTAAGCTCAAAACTTTTCTGTCACCCCTCGTAGTTTGGTAGAAAGAAAATAGTCCCTGCATGAAACTGCTCACAACAAGGTCTGTGGATTATCTTGAGTAACCAGGTCATGATTTCTGGAAAAAGACATTGCTGTTGAGTTTTTTTAAATGCATTTTTTGGCACCACAAGCCGAGTGACATCTTGTGCCATTATATTCAAGAAAAGGCAGACATCTCTACAGCTGATATCTCCAACACTTTGCAACTCACACCAAAACAATCTAGGTTGATAAATAGCACTACAGGTAAGAGGGAAAAACTTATTTTTGGGGTGGACTGTCTCTTTAATCTTTTGCAAACATTGTTCTCTCTACTCAGGTTTCAACGCTCTCTGTAGTGATGTCACGCTTCCTCCGCCTCAACACTTGCTGTAAAACCCTCCATCTCTCACAGCGCTGAAAACCCCTCACAGCTATTGTAACAAGAGAGGACGATGTATCAATGTTATTTAACCAGAGAGGTGAAACAGTCATATGCATGAACGCTTTTCTACTGTCGCTGGAAAATGTTCTGACATCACATAACATTATGTAAACAAGTGCAACACAAATGTACAATAAAATATGCATTTATTTATAGTGATTAAAGTACCATTCACTGAAAACGATCCTGCACACTGATCACGTGTGCTCACACACTCACACAAAACTCATTTACACACCGAAGCGCATCGACTCAATTTAGACGTCAATACCAACATAAATACATTTCAAATATAAATACAGTACTGTACACCTTTCCCTTGGATAGAATTTGAATGTTTTGAGTAGATTGTCGAGGACTGGATGTGTGAATCACTGGCATCAGACGCCAGATGTGGTGGATATCAACAAGTCGTTTGAGGCCCGCAGGTCTGACAGTTGGAGTCTGCACTGAAGTCCTTTGCTACCAAAAAGTTTTACAGATGGTTAATTCACTTGAACAAAGTCAAACAAGTGTCAAAGGAAGCCGTTATATAAAACATGCTGATTTGGTTTAAACCGGACCTTTATATTTCAACAGGAAAAAAAAAAACTGAACATGCTCTATGCTCATGTACAGAAGGAAACTGAGTGTAAACATGTACAAAAGGCATTTTGACAGGCATTAATTACCTCATTCATTTTTAACCTTTGAGGAGAGTAAGAGGTTTAAGTGGTTAAAAAGAAAAACAGTAATTACAACACTCAAGTGCATTAAATTTTCACATAAAATGACAAATCTGTTCTGTTTGAATCATCACTGAATCCTGCCCGATTCCTGAAGCCGGTTTCTGTATTTGGTAATTATCTCCCGTTAGAGTGAATCTTTGTTTGGTTACAAAGTAGTAAAGGAATTGTTATGAATACTTAAATACACACAATGTACTCACTACAAATCAAAAGGTCTGGCCCATCCAAAATTTAAACATTACACAACATTGTAGAAACTAAAATCGTATAAAAGGAAAATTCTCGCTTATCCAGAAAGCTCTGTCATGAACAAGTAGTCCGCAGGCTCACCTGAAGGCCATACTCGTTACATTGGAAGGATTCAATACAATTATTCTCCATCTGAAAGCATCACTCTCATCATGGTAATGTCACAGTGCAAAGTCATGTGTGCAGCTGATGGCTCATACAATCTCTAATTTACAAGGCACAAGCTGACGAGTCCACTAGGGCGAGATGAGGGGAACCGTGAAGTGTGTGTGTGTCCAGTGCCAGCTTTGGGAAGCACGGGTAAATAAGGGTGCAATGGTTTGGAGAGGATGGTGTTGAATTTCAAAGAAGGAAAGATATCTGACACACTCCTTCCTCGCCCCGCTGAAGGTGTGTCTACGCACGAAATCCAGATCAAATTAACACAAGGCTGGAGAACAGGCAAACATCCTGAAAGTGTGCGGTTAACTGAACATAAACCAGTGATAAAAACAAATAAGAACCACTCAGATTACCAATATTCTCACCACATAACTATTGACTGGTCTGTCTGCAGTCTGGTATTATCCCTCATAGGAATCTTTGGCTTGACTATATAAATTTAGACATTTGGACTTTTCATTTAAAGCAATATGGTGACATCAGTGTCTATGAGCCATAGAGAAATATGAATGACCCAAACAATGCTTTCCTATTGAAATTAACTTTATATCTGTATTTTGTGTGTAGGGGGGATTTTAAGGTCTGGTGTGTAGGCTTTAGAGGCATCTAGCTCTGAGGTTGCAGAACTGAAACTCTAGCTGCAGTGGCTGACACGAAAACACAAATGGCCCTATCTAGAGCCAGTGTTTGGTTTGTCTGTTTTGGGCTACTGTAGAACAACATGGCGGACTCTGTAGAAGAGGACCCGCTCTTTATGTAGATATAAACAGCTCACTCTAAAGTAACAAAAACAATTCTTATTTTTAGGTGATTATAAACTAATGAAAACATTCTTATGAATATTAGATTTTATTCCTGCCAATAGATGCTCCTAAATCCTACACGCTGGCCCTTTAAGAAGTAGTGTCGGGGAGGGTATACGAATGCTGAATTTGCCATTTTCTATTCCACTAACACTTGATTGAGGCTGCAAGATCACAGCTGAACTTCAGGAGAGGATTGGCTGCTTCTCTCAATCTTAGAAATAAAAAATTCAGGGTTTCCCACAGTATTTATCGCAACATACTGATTTTGTATTTCTGGAGCAGGACCATTCCTCGGAGCGCTCTACAAATATAAATATATATATATACACTGTTCAATTATTCAGAGCACCACACTCATGGAGAACAGAGCGTACTCTGGGCCCGGTGAATGTGAAACTCTACCATTCATTAATTCATACAGAAGCAAAACACTATTTCTTGGAACAGCAGCGCTCTCACTTGAGCGCTATCGTTTTTCCAAACTACTTTGGTTGAAACCGGCTGCGTTCCCATGGAAACTGCGCACTATGCTTTTACTCGCCTCTGCAGCAGCTGCCCGTCTAATACATCGATCTGAGCACAAACTGATCAACTGATCAATTTGCCACCACGCGACCCAAACTCAACATACTGCTGCTGAGGAAAAACAAAAAGCCTCATGAAGAGTTCACTCTGTGTTGTATTCAGAGACCCGCAGAAACCTCAGAGAGAATTCAGAGAGGGGACATACTGTAGACTGATCACAAAGGGACACACAAGCACCACACAAACAGAAAATTTGCTGACCCACTGAAAAACGATTCTAATTCTGTGGGAAGCACTAGAACTGATTATTTTTGTGTTTTTGACTGCTGTTTGAAGACTGTTTTATGGGCCAAATAATTAGTCAAGAAATTAATCTCCTTATTAATCAGTAATAAAAAAATAATATTAAGCTAGTTGAAGCCCTAGTCCTATAAACAAAACTTGTAATAAAACTTTTAAAATTATTATTTAAGACAAATCTTTTTTGTGAAGTCAGTCTTCTCAGAGCTACCGCAGCATACAACCTAACAAAGAGGATTCATTCCTACACAACACATGGACATAACTTGCCTGTATTGTGAAAATGCTTTTGAATGCAGCCCGAAACAAGTTTGAGAACAGCAAACTGACATGCAAACCACAGTATGCGCAAAAGAAAATACTTGAGCGTTTGACTGAATGTAAAAGGTGAGGCACTTTTTTAAATTTCTTTCTCTGACAGCCGTTTGACCGGGTCAGGACATACAACTGGTTCTCATTGGCTTCCAAGGCATTTAGTTATCTGTGAGAAATGAAGTCAAACAGCTTCAGCAAGCCAAGAGCGTGGTAGATCGAGTTGTTTTGGTGGGTTTTACTTCAGTCAAGAAAAGAATAAAACATCTAAAAAATCTAATTTAACTGGTTCTGGAAAATACTTGGTTCTTATACCCGACTCATATGAATTAAAAAGGTGCTTTAGTTCATTTACAAATGAATGCAGCTCACAGAAAGCCATTTAACTTCTAAAGAGGACAGTCAGCTGTTTAAAAAAAAAACCCTAACAAACTCAAAAAACCAGGGTAGAAGTCATAAATCACCTGCTGCCTTAAGACCAGTCTTGCAGTCACAATTCACATTAGTAGGAGTCCTTCAGCTACGCACTTACATGTGGGGACATTTCAAATCAAAGTGGACTGTATTTCTACTTTTGTAGAAATATGAGCAAAGACTATCAATGAATAAGCAAATACAACCCCCCCACCCCCCCACCCCCCCCACCTAATGATCAGTCCCCTTCACTTCACACACCCACATAGTCCTACTGTTATTTGCCTGCTGGAGCAGCAGGAGGTTCTTTCTTTACAGGGGGGGGATCTGCATCCTGTCTCTTGTCAGTCCTGGACGGATCATCCCCCTCTCCTCGCCCTTTCTCCTGAGAAGTCGGCTCCTTTTTGCCTTCTGAAGCATCCCGGGAACTCGACTGCTCAATGTTATAGCCTTGCGGGGTGGGGGGCTGGTAACGGTATCTGTAGCCAAAGGCACGCAGGTGATACGTGTAGTACTCCAGTAAATACATGTGTGAAGCATCTACGTAGTGGAATGACGCCGACAAGTCCGAGCAGCAGTTTGGACCCTGAGGAAAAACAAGACAATGTGGTTATGCAACATTACAGAGCCAAAGTCTCACATTTAGAATGGGTGGGAAAAAAAGTGTGAACACATTTGCATGTTTTACAAGGTAACACATTCAGAAAACTCCTTTCAGTAAAAGTCACAACATATATCTGATTAAAGCTCAGGTAGGCAGCTTTGTTCTGGCGTCATCGGGCAAAAATCTTATTATAAAGTTTGAACATATTAGTTCTGTTTTCAAGCTTTGGAAAACCTAGCCTGTAACGAGAGACTTCTACCAATCACATTTCAAAGAGAGGGTGTTTCTATTGACTGTCCTACAATTGCAGATTTGTGTGCATGTCTCTTCTGTGAAAGTCTGATTCAATGGCAGAGAATCTTGCAGAGAAAGTTGCTATATCAGCAAAGACTGCCCACGCTGCAAAGCAACCCAACAAAAGGAGGATGGACTGATCAAAAAAAGAGTCTCACAATAAGTGGAATAAAACATGTTAATATCTGTGAAGCCTGTCAGAGATGGACCGAAAATGTTGCTAACAGTTTAGCCTTCTGCTGACTGGAGCTTAAAGCTCATTCTGCACATTCTGTAGCTAACAAGAACCTTGAAGCACAATGTGTTCTCCGCCTCACTCCCCGATGTGCAGACCACCTCGCTGGAAGGAGAGCGGGCAGCGGCAGTTTGCAGCCTCAATTCCATCCAGTGCAAGCTCTAGCTCCGGGGGACCAGACAGCCCTGACTCGCCACCGGATCAGCAAACTATCTGTTGCTGCTGTTAAACAGGTTAGACCAGGCGCTGCTGCTGGCCACCAGCCGGCTGCAACCCCCGGCCCTTGGGGGATTGTGCTGGCTGAATTTCAGCCGAAGGTCTGTCTGCTTGGTTCTGAGCTGCTGGCCCTTCTCTTCCCATTGAAGCTGTTCACAGTTAGCTGGCTAAATCTTGTTTCATTTGAGGTCTGATAAACAATTAGAGTACAGGGCAAGGAGGGGCTAAGTGAATGGGCTGCATGTAGATTATATAAATTAATGAATAATAAACACTGGGTACTGTATAAAACACAAGCATATGCACGTGGTCATCTAGTGGGAGCTGAGAAAGCTGCAGGGGGAGGGTGGGTTTTCCAATTCTATTTTTTTTTTTTTGCCTTTCCACATTCCTGCCTACCCCAGCTTTAACCAGTCACTACTCAGAACCTTTCAGTGTCACTGTGGCTGTACCAGTTTGACAACAAAAAAGCCAAGGGGGTACAGAAACTCTGTTAACATGTAGTTGTTAAGCTAACACAAAATGACACACTGTCTGTTTAAACATTTGCAGTGCTGAAGTTTCTTCATACCAGTGTAATACTACGCCGACAGTAAAGACAAAGTCCGCAATGTTTGTTGTACTTGCCTCTGAGATGGGGTAGTAGCAGTAGCTCCAGTACCAGAAGCTTTTAGGAAACTTGGCAGTGAGGTGCTGCTCGGGGACAAATGGGTGAAATGTCTCCCTGTGTGCAGTGTCTCTGGAGTCCCCTGCCAGCACCCCAACTTTCTCCATGCACTGCCCCATTGCCAGGTCCTCCACAGAGGTAGTGTGAGTGCACACGTTAGTTTTAAATCCTTCTACAAATCGCCGTAAAGCCTCTTTGCTCAACACGTAGCCTGCACCACCACTCATGTAGCCCTGCTTGGTGTAGGGCTTGAATCTTCTGCCAAAGTAAATCGGCTCCTCCGGCGTGTGGTTCGAAAGAATCCACCGCAGGTTGTCTACTATTACGTAGGTGTCATCATCTGCCTTGAGGAACCAATCTGCCTCATTGATGTGATAATCGTAGGCGTAATGGAAGGCTCGGATTGTTTTCCAGTAGAGCTGGTCCCGACCCTCCTTCGTACCTAGGCCCACCGTGGGGAAGTCCGGGTCCTCCACAGAGCTCATGAAGACCACAATATTGCAGTGGCGACTCCACGTGGACTTCACATGCCGAGCCTTCTTCTCCAGGTTGTTGGGTCCAGTCATCACCCAGCAAAGAATACGCACCTTTTTATACAGTTCATCAGCCATGCCACTATCCTCACCTAGTAAGGAGATATAAACATTAATATCAGATTTCAGACTGTAATCTCTCCATAATACACTGTGGCAATATCCACTAATATATGATAGAACATAATATGCTTTTAGAGGTGAAACAACAATCCAAGGGAGGAAATAAATGGTGGTGACAAGGTGTTGCGTGGTTTAAAAAAAAAAAGCACCCTACATGAATCAGCACATTTGACTTAGCCTGGTTCCAGACCACAGACCCCACCCACTCAACTGAGTAGGCTTGCATCTCTGGTCTGGCATACTGCAATGAATTTGCGATTTATCTCATCCAAACGATGGACGGACCAATGAACGCCGGGTCTAGCGATTAGCCAATCAGCGCCACGCTGATGTCAAGCTGTACGCCGGTGGGTAACTGATAAGGATAGCAACAATGGTGACCGCTACAGATCCTACAGACCACATTAACGATGCTATTGAGGTATTTCGCCACTACTCAAGTTAATGGAGGACCAAATTAAGGAAGCTGCTAAACTGGATTTAACAGCGATGCAGCTGGGCGTGCACGACGACAGAGACATTTTAAACGGGCAATGCGCGCTTGTTTTCGGCACCCCCGAGGCATGGATACTAATGACGTCAGATTCTGGTTGAGTCGTTGATCTCTACTGATTGGTTAGGGAAAAATCAAATTCCCTCCCCCTTGTAAATCGCCTTCAATGGAGGCAATGTCAGACTGAAGGTTCTGCGAGCTTCAGTCTGACACTCACGCTACATTTGACTTCCTTCTCTTTAAAAGAATCCATTTCATATTATTACTAAGTTTTTACATTACATTTACACTGTGATTCAAAACTTGACACAACGCTGTGTCGCCCTGGACTTTGTTATTGTGCTGTGTGTGTCTGTGTTGGACTGACGATACAGTGAAGACAGTCACAGGTAGAGCAGACTTTCCCTTACAGCACAAATGTGTCCAATTTAATAGTTAAATATCCAGCAATGGAAACTGAGTTATCACTTCTAGAGGCTAATTTTAGCATTAGAGAAAAGAGATACTGCTCCCTGACATTTTCATTGTGGGTGTGTGTGTGTGTGTCAGAGCAGTGTGAAGACAGACTGAAATTTTCCTCTAAGTTTAAAAGTGTTAAACAAATAATCAAATGTTCAGCAGGGGAAAATAAATTATTTAGACTTCTAGAGCAGGAGGGGTATCAATTTGCATTTGTCATAGTAACTGACTCACATGCGGTTCAGTTTGTTGTGCTAACCTCAACATGTATTTATTGTGTTTCATATCATAGTCCCACAAATATTTATCCATGTGTCATAATTATTACCCTTTCATCCTGTGCCTTCCCATCCCCAATGTTCAAGGATATTCATTTATTCTAAATGGTCCAGACTATTTAATTATTCTATATCATCACGCTATAATCAATATCAGCAGAGGATTTTAATGCAAAGCGGTAACCACTGTCTGTGAATGCATAACTGGGTCAGACCTGCTCAGCACTGGCTTCAAAATGAACTGTAATAACCTGGAGCTTCTGTGCTTCAATTACCTGCTGTGAAACATTAGCCTTATCCATTTATAATGCCTGTTCATTCTTCTGAGGTCACTTTGGTGAAAGTAACGCAAAAGCAATGTAAAAAGTAACTTATATTGTACAGTAACTTGTTACTTTTAAATGAAGGTAACTAGTAATATGTAAGACATAACATTTTGAGAGAAACTTGCCCAACACTGATTATAACTATATAAAACAAACCACCATTGAATTTTTACAAGTTACAGATGAACCTGAATTATATTTGTTATCTGAGTACTGAGTGAAAAAAAGTGGTTGTAAAAAAAAAAACCTGTAAAAACTGGGACTTCACAATAAAGTTGTTTACTAGTTAAGCACTGAGTTTTGTTTCAGTATCAGACCATAAAACATAGAGCTGAATGCAGTGTCTGAGGGGAACAGATAGACTTCCCGGTCAGACACGCAAGGATTGCAAGTACAAGGAAGCTGGAACTTGATATAGTGACTCAGTGGGCTTTGGTGAAAAATGTGGTGGCGTTTAAATGTTTGAATAATGATAGAAAAATTAGTTCAGTACATGATATTGAAGTATGTCTGTCTAAATTAGTTTACATGAACATATTTTGGACACATAGCTGCCAGATGTCGTACCTTTATGATGAGGGTGCTTCAGGTTGAAAAGAGCAGACCTCTCCTTCTTCCATATTTTCCTCTCCTCCTCGAGCTGTAGCTGGTAGTCATGAAGTTTATCAAAGCTGCTGGCCTGCTGTGCTGACAAAGTCCTCTCAAACCACACCTGCCGCAGAAACACGTACAGTGTGAAGGTTCCCACCACGAAACCCGCATAGAAGGAGAATCTGGATCCGAGGGCCTTCATGCTGGACCAGGTGTCTCACTGACTGTCGATCAACTTGGCAGGTGCTGGATAAGACAGTGAAGGAAGACAGCATGGACACAAGTTTCACCACAAGGGCCCCAGTCTGCGGTTGTAAACTTCAAGTCCCCTCGCCGTGTTGGCGAGTGTGAAGAAATGACAAAGTGACAGCAGATGTGTGTCACTCCCCGTTAGGTGGGGTTTACTCACCAGCGGTGTGGCAGACACCATAGCAGCTGGATTTTCCCGCAGCTATTTCATTATAACAGGAGACATCAACTTTAGCAAAAGCTGAGCCAGTTTCGAGCACAACGTAACGTTACCGTTTTTTTTCGCTCTTTGAACGATAGCTCAGCTAGCCCCACTAAAATGCTGCTAACAGTTATCGTTACGAAACTGCGGGCGAGCTAACCAAACCGCAATCTAAATAACCTCCTGGATATATACAAGTTTAATAAATATACATAATGACCGTTATAATCATCTGTTTCTGGCCTGTTTGTTGGGACAGCTGACGTTAGCTAGCTGGCTAGTCCGTTGTATGTCTGCTAACGTTAACTTCAGTGCTACGTTAGCGATGCTTCCTGTCGTGTCAACTAACGGAAACGTGACAGAGTTAGCTGTGACCGACCGAGCTAACCGAAATGACCGCCGACCGGAATAAGTTAAACAAAACTAACGAACCGACTTAAACACCCAAATTAAAAAATGTTCCCAAAACGCAGTGTAAACTACATCTAACTTATCTGACTGCTGACTTCCGTCCAGAACAAACAGCTACTTCCGGTCAAGTCGCGTCATTTCAAAAGAAAAGCGCAGAGCAGACGTGTCCTCCTACAAGGCAGCATACTGCCAATAAATAACCTCACACGTCACAAAAAATAAATTAGTTCATTCATGACTGGTACATAAAGTCACACCCAGCTGTTAGTCCCGACGTGGTCGATTCAGCGCCAGTGAAATGTAACGTGTGTTTATCTAGTACAATGCAAATATAAACTATGTTTTTGATTTCAACATAAAATCACAATTGGTTGGATGATGTCCAGAAGACTCATGTGGTGTCTTTTATTCAAAGAAACAGTGTTCAAAGACTTTTATTTACAGGACAAGGCAGCACAAATGGACTTCTGTCAGAGTATGAAACCAATATGGTGTTGTTTATACAGTAATATAGCCCCATTGAAGGATCTCTGCATCTACTGTGAGCTGTCACTGTTAACAAATTATATATGTGCAGCTGAAGTGTGACGATCAAAATGACTACTGCAGAGACACACCACTGTTGTGACACACCTGTTTGTTAGGGATTGTTGGGACTGGTGATTTGTTTCCCTTTAAGCTGCAGGAGGGAGCTGGCTCTTTGAGTTGCCTGGTGTCACATTGGTGATCCTTGATAAAACAGTTATCTGATTACAAACAGGATCTGTTATCTCTGGGTTTTTCTTTACTGGCTCACTGACGTCACTTTGTGATACAGACCCAGGATCATTAAGGGTGCGATAGCAAGCAAGAACAATCTTAATTTTTTGAGAAGACAATTTCAGTTGGCTAAGTAAAGAAACACTCCTACTCGCACACCCGAAGCTTTTTTTTTTTTTATTCTGTGTACTCTTATCAGATCTTGAGCCTCAGGTCACTGGCGTCTTTGAGAACAAATGCCTCAATCGTGTGTGTCTGGAGAAGTTTGTATACGCCTTAGCTCCACAGTGAAATTACGGTTCATATACAAGATTGCACAGTCACAAGTTTCACAACAGGTAACTTAAGTCCCAGCTAATTTGTGCTAATATACAACCAATCAGTTTAAAAACCTATTCACGCCATTATTATGTACATGGTGAGTTCCAAGTAGTCACAATTATTCACAAATTATACAAATTCAGCCCTTTTAAGTACACCTCTGAAGGATCCTTAGAAAAGTTTTGTATGGATTCATTGTTTTGGTACACTCAGCGTGACTGACACTGAAGCTTTCTTTGTTTTTCTTTGTGAAATGAAGCCAACTAAATTCTTGTCAGAAATGAAAGTACACACTAAGATGATGCATCTCCCTGCACTCCTTTTAGTGCTTTTCTTTTGCATCCCTTTCACAGCACAAGACAACCTAAAGGAAACAGTTTTTTTTGTGAATCAATGTTACAAAGAGTATACAGAACCTTTTTTCCAAAGATATAAAGTGCCACAGCATGTGCGCAAACACCTCTGTAATCTACAGTTGTGTTTAATCTAATCACCAGACGCAACGTGTCAGAAAGTTTCAAAGACAAGTGGGAACTGGAATGTGAACCCTCGAGTGTTTGTCCTTTGTTTTTCAAATCCAGACGCAATCATACTTTGTAGTAAACACTAAACTGAGCACTCTGTGCAAACACTCCTCTGGTGTGTTGAGGCATGCACAGTTCCCCCCCAGCTGTGTCACTTAAAGGTAATGACGTCTTTGCGGACAGCAACATATAAGACAAATGCAAACAATTCAACAGTGTGCTGCTGACAACTTCAGAGCTAGATGCACATATTCAGTAAAAGTCACTGACATATTTCTAAAAAAAAGGTATATATTGTACATCACCATCTATCAAAACTGAATCCCATCAAAAAGGGGAAAATGCATAACTTCATTCAGCCGCACAAGTACAGCTGAGACGCTGTGGTTTCATCGTGCAACACATAAACTGGTGCCTACTACAGACACACATTGCCTATTCAAGACACACGGACACATTTTCTGAATGTGCAAACAGGTGGGTTGATATTATCCGCCAGGTTTAATAGCAGTAACTGAATCATCTGGGCTCTCTATCAAATTTGCGGCCGCACTTCAGAGTCCCCCTCCCTGCTGGTCTCCACAGGAGTTCACCATCACAAAAGGTGCACTGAATGTACTGAATGAGCTCATATGTCCACGTCGTCTGAGTCGGAGGTGCTGGATGACTGGGACTCCTCCTGGGATTCTCCCCAGACAAACCTATAGTTGTTCTCCAACTCCTGCTGCCTCTTTTGCTCTTTGTATACCTCTTCTGTGCCTCCAGTCTACAAGATGGGGAGAAAAAGGAAAAGGACATGTTTAGAAACAACCACTACCTTCTCAACTGAATGATGTGCTAAATGCCAATGAAAAAACACACATTTTACACTGTTCTCAGATTAACAGGAAAAAGAGAAGTGTGCTTGTGGGTGGTAAGTGGGTTTCAGTGAGGTGGATAGCCACTGAGATCTAGTAGATGACACCCAAAACAATTATCACACCCATTGAAAAGGCTTCATCGGCTGTGTGAAACAGTGCATCTGTTCCCTTTCCTTGCGGGTTAATGTTTCATCTCATATAAAGTACATTCATTTTTATGATGGTAGAGGAGGATGTTCAGGCAAGGTTGCTCAACTCTATAATACAATGCTGCACAAAACCCAGTGGAGCCCTCCCAGCAAACCAGAAAACCAAGCAAACCTGAAACCCATTGTTCATTCACTGACTGGTTTTCTAAAGCACAGCAGTTGTCATTCATGAATTGTTTTTGATGTGGGGCTTCAGTAAAAGTATCGCAGCTTCAAACAAGGTGATTTTTATCTCCACCAGGAGTATCTGCCTGTCTGCAGCTTACTCACGACTATTGGACCCATCAGCATAATATTGTTTGTGTGGTGATTCATGATTGATGAAAAACCTGTTTTATTGACTACTCTGATTTATACTGCCATCATCTGTTCAATCCCTCGTCCTTTTAGCTGTCTGGTTGAGGCTGCAAGTGATCAACAAAATCCCATTGCAGACAGCATTTCCAGCAAGGCTACAAAACAAGCCTTACCTCGTCTGTCGATGCCATATTTTGGCCTTTGTCGTGGGTCAAAAATTGACATCGACATACAAAGGTTTAGTCTCATTTGAAGTGGAGGATCTGCAGATTAATTCCATTCTCGATATGTTATGATCCACTAAAGTCAGGCATGATACGAGATGAGTATGTTAACTGCTTTTGTCATCTTCACCGTCATCTTGACTGTAAGGGAGCCAGGAGGAACAACAGAGTGAGCGAGGTAGGGAGACATTTTACTGGACAGTGGGCCCCATCTTACATCCAGCACAAAGTGGTGCACAGCATAGTGTGTCTGTCATTGCTATTTCAAGACCATTACAGTTGTCAGTTTCACAGCCAGTGCTTACAATGTGTAAGTAGCAAAAGTGTGCACCAATGGGCATATAGGTCTTGAAATGAGGTGTGGTCCACCAGGGCATTGTTGGCGTGTTGCTATTTTAAGACAGCAGAAAGAGACTGCACCATTGAACGACAAAAACCTGGTTTAAAGTCAATAGTGCAGATTTTTCCTGCTTCAGATCGTACAATGCGCCTACACAGGCAGGTTCACAATGCATGAACACCCCGCTTGTTACACAAGCAGGGACCTGTGGATGGGTTGCAAGTGGGTGAAATAATACAACACCAATGAGGAAAACATTATTTACATTCTCTAGAATGTGAACATAGCAGAGAGCAGAGCAGAGCTGCAGAGCTGCTGTCCGACTTCCCATTAAGACAGACACTATGCGCATTTACAGATGAGAAAGCAGCGTAACTTCATTTAGGTCTGTTTCTTCTGTCAAGTTTTTAGTTTTGCTGCTTAAATGTCCCACGATATTTGCTGCATTGACATTACTGCTCTTACTGCAGTACTCTGAGCACAAAACCACTCTCTTCTCCTATTTGCTGAATTCGCCATGTAAACAGCAGTGCACCAGGTGCAGGCACTCTTGGCTTTAAAGGGGACTGGAGATGACACTCTGACTGAGCGCTCATGTTACGCCCACTACACACCTATGATTAATAAAGGGACTAAATACAATCCCATTAACCCTTGGGCCTTACTTTGTGCCCAGACTATGCTCCCAAAGTGGATTTGGACACGCCCTAAATGCACTTGTGCCATGCACTTTAGACCACATGCTATGGATTGTTTAAAGAGGGTCCATTGTGTCCGAGGTTTGTCTCCATATAGCATGTCTATTCTGGTCACACCCTGATGTAACCTGCTCCCCTTCATTCCATACTGTCATGCAAATAAATAAACCTTTTTTGTAAACTAAACGTTGAAATGCTCTGTTTTGTACATTTTCAAAGTCAGTTAAGTTTGACAACCTAGAACGTACCAGAAACCATATGATTTACCTCTTAAAACAATGATATGACATTTTGGGAAATACAATTAGATATGTTTTCAAATATATATTCCTCCTTAATAAGATTAGGCAATCAATACAACTCTCTTATCTGTTGTTAAATAAGAAGCTGTATTCAGCAGGGTGCTGGCTATAGCTTCATATTTGGAGTGGGGTCACTTTTCTTACACATCTCTTCATATCAACTATTCAACTATTGCTTCAAATGTTCAAGTGTACATACATTTAGTTCTTTCTTAAATGTTTGGACCTATGAAAACATTTAAGTAAATAGTAAGTCCACAAAACGTTTTAATTTTTGCTCACAAAAAACTCAGCCGACAAATGAAATCTGTCAATACACCAGAAGTTTTTTTATGACTACAGACGGATGTTTTTACATCTACTCAAGCCGTAGTTTGGTTAAATTACTTAAACAAACATACAAAAACAACAGCTGTCTCTGCTCAATCCTACGCAGGCTGAAATGAATTACTAAGCAAACTCTACAGCACATAGCTGCTGGCAAACACAGTATAATGGTGCATAAATCGCACCCAGAAGGATCCAACTGAACCCCATAAAAAGTGACTATCCCGTCTTAAATTACCAGGAGATTTATGAGGAGCTCCCTGAAGGACTTTGTATCCTCTTCAGTCAGCCACTGATCACCTGTCTCCTCTGCGTTTTTTCGCGTCAGGATCTTCACCTCAATCTTACCTAAGAAAGAGAAGAACAGGGGAAAAGGCCGGCTTGCCAGTTAAACACATGCACACCCAAGTGGCTCAGATTTGTCACAACAACAAATAATCTTAATGAAGAATGGTACAAACACAACAGTGGATGAAAAAGAAAGGACATGGACACACCTTTCGTTTCCCTTTGTCTTTAAGTTAAGCTTCAGCTAACTTGCCACCATAATCTTTTATTTTGCTATTCCATTTTGGTCTAATGCCCAAAACAATTCTTGATCTTCTTCAAAAACATGTGTTTAATTGCTGGCAGCATGAAAAATAAAGGACACCATCACACTGTTAGCGTGATGTTAAGTGTCTTTTGAACAGCTAAACCATGGAAAAGCCTAAATCTGAGAGAGTTGTGTGCTTTTCGACAAAGATGAGAGAAGAAGTACAGAGGTACTGTATGCTCAAGATAACAGATGGAAGAGAGAAAGGGCCGTGAGTGTTTCGGGCACTCCCCCCTCATACCTTCTGCCTTCAGTCCTGCTTTCTCTAGCTGTTCTTTAACCACGTCCTTTATGTGCTGCCACTGGGGGTCTCCTTCGCCCATCTCCTGAACTTTCACCTCCCCATCAGGGCTGCTGCCCGTCTTATACTTAGTAATTTTGATCTTAACATGGTCGTCAGCCGCTTGGTCTGGGGTGACGAGACAAAAGAGGGACAAACAACACAGTTCACCTCAAAAAACCCATCAGCAGGGCCACAGGATGGAGGAGGTAAGAGCCAAGAATGTGTAATCCAGAACACTGCCTTAAGAGAATTACATTTCTGCATTGTCAAAGATTTATAATACTGTGATTGATTCGGATCTTGATTTAATCACTGAAAATCACCCACAGGCACATCAATGGCAGCAGAGGAAAGACCGCTAACTAACTAAAATACTTAAATGTATCAATCTGATAACATCTCTGGATCAATCTCCTTGTGTGCATCTAGTCTGGGATGAAAGATGTCACAACAAACATCTATTGCACATATGAATGAAATATGAGGATGATGGAGGCGGACACAGGATGTACGTGACCACAGCGGGGGCGGGCTGCCTGGTTACCTGGCTGCTTCGGAGCCAAGCTGGGGCTGCCTCTGGTGGGGTCGCTGGGTCTTTGAACTCCCGCCGTTTGCTGCTCCGGGTCCTGGACGTCTTTCTCCTCTAAATGATCGAGTAGCTTGTCCAGTGTCGTTTCCAGTGTTTGTGTTGCTTGAGTGCGATCAAACTCCCCCTTCAGACCTTCTGTCTCTAATTCCTGCTGAGCCTGTAACACAAGACAGAAGACGATCGCATCAAAGTGTCGTTAGATTGTTTAACTGTGTAAGATCTGCGCGATTACATTTTAACATATGATCAGCCATTGTGTTTTTAGTCAGAAACCTCATTTATGATGTTGTCGAACTCCTTCTGCATTTCCTCCTTTATCTCTTCAATCTTATCAGAGGGCACCGAGAGGTCGGCCATCTCATCCTCAAACTCCTGCAGCAGGCGTTCATCTTCATCTTTCTCTTCCTCACCGACCTTCTCCATTTCCCGCTCGCTTTTTGGTTTCTCTCCTTGACTTTTGGCTTGGTTTTGTGCTTTCTAAAATTAAAACAAATAAACATGTAGCACTAAATTGGAATACCCATACGCTGCAAAGAAAATACACTCCAAACGATGCACAAAAAAAGTATTAAAGTAATCTTGGCAAGTACTGACCTTCCTGTTACTCTCTTTCAGGTGTTGGACGAATTTCATCAGGTCTGCTGGGTCAGTGATGATTTTAAAGTTGAATTTTTCAGCTGGAAGATATTAATGTGACAAGAGAAAATGCTCTAAGTTAAACACTGAACAACAACAATCTAAAAAAATTTTAACAAAGCACTTCATTTGGACTAACAATAGTTTAGGGTCGCAGTGAAGAGACTGAAATTTTGATGCTTCATTCATAAATTTAAATCAACGCAACTTTCTTTTCTTTTTTGCATGTCTATTTATTCTATCTAAAGCTGTATTTTCTGCACAGTTACAGATAAAGATTAGGCTACACTCATATTATTAGTATTACACTATTTGTAGAATTAGATTCCAGTGGTGGCTGCAGTGTGTGCACCTTTTTCCCTCTCGTCTCTTTGTGTTTGTGTTACGTAATGTCCTCAGGCTTTGGTTTATTTAACAGACATTAATTATTATTCCCTATTGATCGTTGCCTTGTGAGAGGCAGCTGTCTTTGCAGACAAAGACCACGTCCTTTGCATAGCGAGTGAGTGTCGCTCACACCAAACTTCTGCAGCAGAATGTTCAGATTTTGAGTTGAAAAATGAAGTGTTGTAATTTATTTTATTGCCATTTCTGTCATAGCTTAATGTTGATATAAGCCTGAGGGTGCAATTATTATTTCATCATTATTTTATGCCCTTATTGGATTAGCCTGCTGCCTACATGTATTTACATTGGCAAAGCAGACAAGTTATGTAAAACTAATTTATTCTGATGAATTAGTTTTTTTAAATTGTAGATTTTGTACCTCTTTGAGAATTTTTTACGTCATAAAATATAACAGACTTTTGAATGTTTATTCTTAAACCTCAATAGAAGCTCTGAATGTAAAAACTGACATGCAGTACAGACCTACACTCGTTCAGTTTGTAAATCAGACGACATAACTGCACAGAAATAAAGGACTGTGGTTCTTTTAATCTTGTTTGAGGCTCTTCAAAGCAGCAGCAGTGACCAGAAGAATCATAAATATCATTGAACTTCCTTGTGTGTGTGTGTGTGTGTGTGTGTGTTGCAATACCTTCATCACCATCATCCATGACTTCATTGTCTGTAAGTGAGTTATAGCCATCATCTGCTGCCTGTGCATAGGAAACAAAATCAGGTTAGAGTTGTGGAGTGGAGATGTGAAGTTCAACCTACGCCCTCTAGTGGTCAGAGAAGAATCAGGTTTGCTATCAACAATGTATCAGATCAGTCTAGACATTATTAACAGCACAAAGATGATGAGAATGCATCAAAATATACTCTATTAAAATGAGATTTTAAAATATTATAAAGCTTCTCCATCAAAGAGAGTCAGTATTTTGGCACTGTGGACATGACAGCAGTCGCCCAGAGAGGCATCAATTACTAAAAGGTTAAACTGATTCTCAGATGTATTTCTATACCTGATTCTCCTGTTGAGGAGAACTTGTTTTTGAACTCCCTGGTTTTGTGACTCCCTCCCAGAACTCAGAATCTTCTGCCTCCTCTGACCCAGCATCCTCAGACACAGCAGCAGCATCTGTTTGATAATAAAGACACACCAGTTTATATCTGACATGATGGAAATAAAAAACCCAATGCGTTTTTATTTAGTGAAGTGAAAAATTATTACAATGGTAGATATTTGCCAGATCCTAAGTAGTGATGTAAAAAAATATCAATCCTTATTCACAGACAGATCCATTAACCAACAGATGTGGAACAGTAACAGGATCCCTCATTGACACTTTCTGGACTTGTCCAAACTTTAATAATTATTGGACATCGATATTTAATACATTTTCTGAGGTTTTTGGAGTCAGATTTACCCCTTCCCCACTAATTGCAAATTTCAGAGTAGTTCCAGAGAACATATCTCCTCCTAGACACTATTGCCTCCGTTATTGCTAGACGTTTTCTACACGTTTTCTACACAAATAAGGTGTACGCTGGATGGCTCTACAGGTAAATTTTACAGGACATGGCGACCATTACTGACATATATGAAAATGCGTGTGTGATGTTTCATAATTGATTCTTACATAGAGCAAATTACAATGTAGATGTTAGCTATGTTGCTGTCTGCTTATGTATGTCTGAAATGTGTATCTATCTGCACATGTATACATGTATGTATACTATCTTTTTAGTTTTCATTTTAGTTTTATACACTTTTTTTCTCAGGGCTGGGGAGGTGGTTGATTCTGAATATTGAAATGATTTTGAAATAATGATTGGACTTATTTTCTGCAGTATGGATAAAGCGGTACCAGCTGTTCTTTCTCCCTTTCTTATTGTTATTGTTTGCTACAGTCATCCTGCTGTTCTCTGCTACTAACCGAGAACAGAACAGACAAGTCATCACTGTCATGTTATAGGCTAGATATATTTCTCTTTTTTTTTTTTAAGATAAAATTTTGGCTTTTACCTTTATTTGACAGGACTGAGTATGATGGGAGGAGAGAGGGGGGATAACATGCAGCAAAGGGCCACAGCCTGGAATCAAAACCACTGCCACTGCGGCAAGGACAATGCCTCTGTACACGGGATGACTGCTGCACCCACTGAGCCACAGGGTGCCTCATTATATTTATCTTTTAATGCAACTTTTAAATTGTGTGTCCTTAAGGTCAATTTTCCCCGAGGTATCAAAAATGGCATTTCTCAAGGCACTATATCAGAGTTTAAAATTCCAGTTTCGTGACAACACGACTCTTAATTGTGAAAGAAACGCACCTTTTGTGTCCGACATGTTCGGGTCCTCACTGGGTGCAGGAGATGTCTCCTCTGCTGTAACTTCCACTGCTCCATCTGCCCCTTCATTACCTGCCAACATCTCATCAAGACTCCTTAGCTCCTCTGAGATCTGCTCTACTTTACGCTTCGTGTCCGCTGGGAACAGACAGAGAAAGGAAAGGAGGGAGGGGAAGAAGAAGCGATCACATCACATATTTCCTTTTTTTGGTTTTTAAATAGACACAGGAAGAATCCATAAATTAAAGCACCCATTCAACAATTGCTAAAAAGTTATACATTCACTCCTTTTATGTTTCAATCTGATATCACCAACACACTTAAATACTCTGTTCCCACATTATGTCCTCCTGCAGTCTCCTGATTCAACAGGACGGTACATTAAAGTAATGAAGCAAGACTCCGTCCAAACGCGTCACAGTGACCTTCATTTTTGTTAACTCACAGACTTGAGCTTTGACATAATCCATGTACTGTTGGGCACTTAGTGCCGGCTGGCACACGATACCCTGGGGCTTGGCAGTGGATGGCGGACGCAGGAAAGGATGTTGGCAGGTTCGACTGGTGTGAACCGTCAGCACATAGCGGCACGACTGAGGCTCGTCCACCCGGGCGATGTAGTCACCCGAGCCTTCTTCACACACAAACTGAAAATAATAATGTAAAATTAGGGAGGTGTATTTAGGAGGATCATTTGGTACAACATGCAGATTTTCACCCTATTCATATCTGTTTATAGTGGCAAAATGAAAAACAAATGGAAGTCAAATGTCTCACCCGGACTTCTGTCTCTCTGGGATTTCCATTGAGGTCGCACTTTGAGCCGTTTACATAGGTCTGACTGTGGTAGCGCTTCAGCCTGTGCTGTTTGGAGGCCTGGGAAATAAAGAGAAAAGATGTATTAACCAAACTGATATATAATAATCTTGAAAGTTCAGTGCATCATATAACAGTGAAATGTGATGCTTCTGATGTTCGTGCCCTTCTACTGATTCACAAATCGTCGTCATTGTTACTGAAAGCTGGTAAATCACCAGAGACACTACAGCATTTTAAGAGCAGGATTGAGTTGCACTAGCAGTCTGTGATTCCTAGTTTTTACTTCCTATCCCCCTACTGTACTTCCGGTGCTGTTGCTTGGACTACTCATCTTTGTGATCTCATCTACACACCTATAGAGTTTGTGTTTGCATCTTGTACAGTAGTGACGCTATACTGTTGACAGAATTTGTCCACAGACATATTAACACCTGGCAAAATTCTCAAACCAGCATCTGTGGTAGTTCCCAGCACAACAGGTGTCTCCTCAGTACCACACTTTCCCGTGATGACACACAGACTCATGGAGTAAAAACAGTATCAGCCCTGCCGCTGTGGTTGGTAACGATGTTTAAACTATTATAGTTTATTATGTAAACTATTGAGTAAACACTGATGTCATACAAGTTTGAACTTGGGAACATCCTGTGCAACTGGTTCCAGTGTTGAGTTGTTGTTATTAATGTACAGTAATAACTCTGAACAAGCTTTGTACACCTGCAGGCAATCTGATGATGTTTGAAATAACAAATTACCCTGGGTAAAAAAATTCCCTCTCCCAAGGGATTATGCTGTATTTGTTTCAGACATCACCAGCAGCAGATAATCACTGAGATTTTATTGAGCTTGATTTAAAGTGGAAATACAGACTTTTTTTTTTACTTTAACTCATTGTGAGGTAAATGTTGATTGCACAATGTAATGGCCACAGAATTATGACACTATCTGCATTAAGACTGATTCTCTGTAAGCCTCAGTTTCACCATGCAATTCTGTCTGCCACCAGGTACAATCTCCCAGAAAAACAAAGGGTCGATTTATGGCACAAAGAAAGCATGTCAACTACTACGCAACTAAAACAAGAAGAGGACAGCACTTTTGTTTTCCTCGGTAGCTATCGGCAGCTATCCCCAGTTGCCAAAGAGTATTAATGTAAGTTCTCTGCAGTTACTGTCCCCAGTAGTGGAAATGGCGGCAGGAGAACAACTGAAGTAACTGTGGAAACTGTGGGCTCCGAGGAAAAACAAAAAGCGATCAGTTGTCTTTTTAAACAGCAGCACCAATGATAAGACCACTTGGAAACACTCAGGAGGGCAAAGATTAAAAGTTGTCTGTCTCCACTCAAGGGAGCAAAGTGCATGCTAATGTAAAGGAAACATTATAATTTCCTTTTCTCATCTGTAGTTCAGAGACTGACAGCTTCTTGTTTGTTGAGAAGGATAAAATAAGTTGAGCTCAGCAAATTATGATAATGTATTTTGTTACAGAGGGTAAGTTACTCACCAACAGAGAAAAAAAAACTCACATAATGTCGACACTACATCCAAAATTAGACTGAAAATTATCCATCAAAAATGAGAAAATGTGAAATGAAAAGCTAAGGCATTCAACTGTCGAGATCCCTCTGCCACATCCTACTATACTAAGATGTTTCAGCTCATATTATACAATCAGCCATTCCCCCTTTTTGTCTTTCTTTAATGATCACCAGAAATCTAATCCATCAAGAACTGTAAAAACCCACAACCACAAAATTGAGGCCACTTTACCTTTGCTGTTTCGTTGCTCCAATCAAATTCAGATTCATAATAACCAAGGAAGAGAATGTCCCCTTTGATTTCTGTGTCTGTGAAAGAACAAATGACAAATATCTGTCAAACTGACTGTCGTGAAAAACAGATTACAAACACAGAGGCGAGCTCTTACCTTCCATGTGGTACTGTCTGATATGCTGACCATGGCAGAACTCATATGTCCACCAGTCCTTCGTCTACAAGACACAGACAGCAACATTATGATAAACAGTAATTGACTGAGACATTTTCCTTTTCTTCTCGGCTACTTGCTCAATGTCATCAACAATATCATTGATCATCTTATATGAATACAACTTGTGCACAAATTATTATGTTTTTTAACCGGTTAAGCCAAGTAGGACACTTTACGACAGACTTTCAAACTTGTTGTCTTGTTTGCTAAGTTGATCGACGATTGTTGATTGAAAATTGGTATGCAAGGATGCAGGTATTCAGCTAGCACATGCATCTTAAAAGGGGAAAGATCAAGTTGCGCGTTAAAAAAACAAACAAAATACTAACAAAAGGCTAAAAACATGTTTGCAATGTCAAGTAAATTAACAAAAAATAAAGGATAACAAAAATGAAATTACAATCAGCTGTTGAGAACAATATTTTCCTCACATTTTGATCCTGTTTTGATCATGATGCATTCAGTTTAATGATCGCTTTAGTTAGAAGGGCAACAGAATATATACAGTACAGGCCAAAAGTTTGGACACACCTTCTCATTCAATGCGTTTTCTTTATTTTCATGACTATTTACATTGTAGATTCTCACTGAAGGCATCAAAACTATGAATGAACACATGTGGAGTTATGTACTTAACAAAAAAAGGTGAAATAACTGAAAACATGTTTTATATTCTAGTTTCTTCAAAATAGCCACCCTTTGCTCTGATTACTGCTTTGCACACTCTTGGCATTCTCTCGATGAGCTTCAAGAGGCAGTCACCTGAAATGGTGTTGAAAAATAAATGATCGTCCAACTAAACGCAAACCGGATGGGATGGCATGTCGCTGCAGGATGCTGTGGTAGCCATGCTGGTTCAGTGTGCCTTCAATTTTGAATAAATCCCCAACAGTGTCACCAGCAAAACACCCCCACACCATCACACCTCCTCCTCCACGCTTCACAGTGGGAACCAGGCATGTGGAATCCATCCGTTCACCTTTTCTGCGTCTCACAAAGACATGGCGGTTGGAACCAAAGATCTCAAATTTGGACTCATCAGACCAAAGCACAGATTTCCACTGGTCTAATGTCCATTCCTTGTGTTTCTTGGCCCAAACAAATCTCTTCTGCTTGTTGCCTCTCCTTAGCAGTGGTTTCCTAGCAGCTATTTGACCATGAAGGCCTGATTGGCGCAGTCTCCTCTTAACACTTGTTCTAGAGATGGGTCTGCTGCTAGAACTCTGTGTGGCATTCATCTGGTCTCTGATCTGAGCTGCTGTTAACTTGCGATTTCTGAGGCTGGTGACTCGGATGAACTTATCCTCAGAAGCAGAGGTGACTCTTGGTCTTCCTTTCCTGGGTCGGTCCTCATGTGTGCCAGTTTGGTTGTAGTGCTTGATGGTTTTTGCGACTCCACTTGGGGACACATTTAAAGTTTTTGCAATTTTCCGGACTGACTGACCTTCATTTCTTAAAGTAATGATGGCCACTCGTTTTTCTTTAGTTAGCTGATTGGTTCTTGCCATAATATGAATTTTAACAGTTGTCCAATAGGGCTGTCGGCTGTGTATTAACCTGACTTCTGCACAACACAACTGATGGTCCCAACCCCATTGATAAAGCAAGAAATTCCACTAATTAACCCTGATAAGGCACACCTGTGAAGTGGAAACCATTTCAGGTGACTACCTCTTGAAGCTCATCGAGAGAATGTCAAGAGTGTGCAAAGCAGTAATCAGAGCAAAGGGTGGCTATTTTGAAGAAACTAGAATATAAAACATGTTTTCAGTTATTTCACCTTTTTTTGTTAAGTACATAACTCCACATGTGTTCATTCATAGTTTTGATGCCTTCAGTGAGAATCTACAATGTAAATAGTCATGAAAATAAAGAAAACGCATTGAATGAGAAGGTGTGTCCAAACTTTTGGCCTGTACTGTACATGAATATAATTTGGCTTTTGCTGTGTGAAACAGCACCTCTGCTCCTTTTCCATGACAGATAATGTCATATGTCTTACAAGTGTATTTACTAGTCTTTGTTTCAGGCGAGTTGGCCCACCTCTGCTGTAAAATACTGTGGAAAACCCAGGATACTTCATCTTTACGGATTGCATCAGCCTCATTTCAGCTGAAGCAAAACATTCATTTTAACCTGTAGTCCCCCACACAGTCGTCACTGACTGAGATGAGTATTTACAGGAATATAAAAAAATAGAGGGATATTTTTAGTACGCCTCACAGCCGCAATCTCCTGGTATGGCAACAAAAGTGCCCTAAGCAACCAGACACAAGTATCTTACATAAAGATAAGGAGATATGTACGTGACTGGGCCCTGGGTCAAGAAACACATTTACAATATGCCAGCAACCCACTCACATAACCATCTATTGACTGTGCAGGAGAAAAAGTTGCACAATGTGCATATTTTCAAGAAGTTTTGGCACAAAGGCTTTTGGTCACTTTCCTTAGAGTCACTGCAGAAGAAGGTTTGTCAACAGAGAGCAGACAGATGTTTAAATTCCACTCCACCTACATGAGGAGGAATTAGTAATGCACGTCCCAAGAACGAGTGGATCTAGTGCAATCTTTTTTCCATTTTTGATCTCTGTTGTGGTAACCTGAGCTTAACTGTAAGATGTACCAGTGAAAAACTAAAGCAGCACCATAGAGAAATGACTGGACTTTGGTTTAGTTTGCAACAGCATACTTTCCTCTGTAGCTGAGAATGAATCATTTATGTTGTCTATTTTGAATATATTATAATCAGGGTGTAAAAGGTGTTATGAAAGGTCTTATAAGTGACTATTTCTGTTTTAACATGTGTATGATTGTTTTATTTAAGAAGGGATAATGCACATTAGCATGTTCTCCCCGTGTCAGTGTGGGTTCTCTCTGGGCACTCTGGCTTCCTCCCACAGTCCAAAGACATGCAGACTGGGGACTAGGTTAATTGATAACTCTAAATTGTCCGTAGGTGTGAATGTGAGCGTGAATGGTTGTTTGTCTCTATGTGTCAGCCCTGCAATAGTCTGGCGACCTGTCCAGGGTGTACCCTGCCTCTCGCCCGATGTCAGCTGGGATAGGCTCCAGCCCCCCCGCAACCCTCAAGAGGATGAAGCGGTTAGAAGATGAATGAATGAATAATGCACATTAACCTAAGCATGAGTGGGTCATGAAAATGTACTAGGTTTAACCATACATTTTCATTGGCAGTCCCTTGCAGGTTGTTGGCATTAAAAGAAAACATACAAAAGCACACAAGCACAGACACACAAGCACAGGCAAAAGCACATAATTAATGACCAAAACAAAAACAGACCTTTACTGGGAGCTACAGGGAACACATTCCCCCCTCTGATCATTCACATGACTCCAAGATCAAAATGGCCCTTTACAACAAGAGCTTTTTTATCCAAGATTTGATTACTGAAGGCAATCTGAGGTTGTTTTCAGCTAACTCGGCCAGTCTCATTCTGATTTCTCCCATGTGATTTTATTTTCATTCACTTTCCAAGGCCAAGTAAACACAGGCGGAGGGGGGTTGTTGGTACTATTTATTCAAATTATTTCCACTGCTTCAAGCTTGATCTTTTTTTACCTCCTTCAATATGTAGCTGTATCACTGAGTAGGCCTAATGATACCCCAGCACTTCCTGTGATGATCTATCCTCTCTACAATCTTGCTTTTTTCTAAACCCTTTGAAGTCTGCAACTGTAAAACCCTTACTCAAAAAACCTAAACTAAACACCACCTTTTGTTGTAATTACCAACCCATTTCAAATCCTTTCCTGAGCAAGGCTTCAGAGAAGGTGGCGTTTAAACAATTTAATAAACACCTGACTGAGAACAGTATTCTTGAAAATTTCCAATCAGGCACCCTTTGACACCCTTGACACTATCGACCACAATATTTTACTTACTGTCTTGCTGTTTTCAATTTACATGCTGCCACTGGGATCCATCATCCGTCAGTTTGGTGTGAGTCTCCTCGGTTAAGCTGACGACACACAGCTGTATGTGTATGTGAGGCCAGATGACTGAAATACTCTGTCCAGTCTAACTGACTGTGTGTAAGCCATCAATTAATGGATGAACAAGAACTTCCTTAAGCTAAATGAAGATAACACTGACATACACCTAGGTGGCCCATAAAACAAGAGGGATCAAGTTCTCCCTAAAATGGGACATCTGGCCACACAGACACGACCTCAGGTAAGAAACCTCAATGTCATTTTAGATTCTGGTCTCAATTTTAAAGACCATTTTGATTAATTTACTAAAACTGCATTTTATCATTTATGCAATATAGCAAAGGTAAGACCTCTACTGAATTTGTTTCCAGTCATCTTGGTTATTATAATGCTCTATACACTGGCCTACCTAAAGCAGCCATTGCAAAATTACAGATCATTCAGGATGTCACTGCCAGGGTTTTAATAAAAACTAAAAGGAGAGACCATATAACTCTTGTTTTAAGTAACCTACACTGGCTCCCATTATCTTTTAGAATTGATTTTAAAGTCCTTCTATTAGTGTTTTAGGGCACTTAACGGCCTCGTTACCTCTTGTATCACAGACTCTCTGCTGTTTCATGACCCTCCACATCCCTGAAATCTTTCCCAGCTGCTTTAACAGGTCCCAAGGTCACTACAAAAACCTAAGGGGATGCTTCTTTTAGCTACTCTGCCCCCAAAATATGGAACCCCTGCCTTTCAATGTTGGACTTGTTAGCTCAGTGGACAGTTTTTAACAACAATTCAAAACATATCTTCTTATTTTTTTTAAATAACCTATGGCCAGCAACTGTCTAACATTTTTCATGATTTTCTGTAATGTTTTACTGAATGCCTGTTGTATAGTTGTATGGTTTTTAACATATCTCTTTTCTGTGTTTGTTTCTGCTGCTGAATTGTAAAGGATGTTGTGCTGCATCCTGTGAATGAAAGTTGCTATATAAATAAAGTTCATTCATTCATTCATTCATTCAAAAGCTCCTAAACACAGACACATAAGCACAGACAAAGCTCATAAGCACAAACAAAGCTCATGAGCACAGGTAAAAGCACACAGGCACAGACAAGTAGTAGAACAATGACAAACCACTCCAGATTATGACCTCACATTTTAATTGTCCAGTAACCACTATTTTGTAGGTTTGGAGAACGGGTTGAGATATGTGATGTTCCTTATTTCTGTGGGTAAACTGCAGTGTTTCAGGTTTGTGCTGCCTGATAGGAAATGGCTGACTGCCCAAAGGTACATTTTCTTTATGGTATTTATAGGGCTGCCCCTGGCTATGATTTTTCCTGGTCGACCAGTAGTCTTCATATAGGACCATTAGTCAACTAGTTGCCTGCATGTTATTAATGAATGTTTATTGTTTAATGTTAATGTTTACAATGAACTTTAATTAATATAGGCCTATATTTTATCTACAAGTGCACGTCACACACTGAGTGAGCCGCCTGTTAATGACGCTGTCGGCAAAGCAGTAATGATTGTGCTAAGTGGCTAATGGGCATGTAGCTACTTCCATGTTTCAGATGATACGTCATGTTTGTAGTTGATGAATGAAGATGAGTTTACATATCACCTTGGGTTCGTCCTTCACCTTCTCAAAATGATCCCACACTTTGGATTTCCTACCCAACATGTTATTAACTAGCCTGTGGAATAACCGCAGGTACCAGCCCTGTAAATTAATGTGACTCCTGTCTGACTTCTGAGCGTGGCCTCTTCCTGTGTCTGTCCTTTCAAATTAAATTCCCACATGGTCCAGTCATATAGGTTTTGATTTATTTTGACAAGGCACAGCTCCTAATAGAGTTTCACATTTTATTTTATTTTATTTTATTTTTCTGAGACTTGCCGACTAATGACCTTTCTGGTCGACTAACGTTTGGTCGACTATTAGGGGGCAGCCCTAGGAATTTTACAATCCCTTGTGATAGCAGCTCTGGTTGATGAGTTTTGACTTTGTTTAAAGGGATAGTTTGGATCTTTTGAAGTGGGGTTGTATGAGGTGCTTATTCATAGTCAGTGTATTACATACAGCAGATGTCAGCTGGCATGCCCCCAGTTTGGAGAAGCAGGCGATAGCCCGACACAGAAGCTATGTAATTTACTGCTGTAGAGGGGTCAACAACAAAATTAATTTTAGCCACCTAATAAAAAAGTCACACCTAAATAAAATCCCTACCGGTTTAGGTGTGGGCTATATTAAGAGATAATAAGAGATTTTCAGTGCTTTACCTTACCATCAGACAGCAATTTCCAACAGGGAACTGAAGCCTTCATATACAGATACAGACTGCATTGAGAAACAGTGATTTAACATGGCAGAACACAGAAGCTTCTGGTTAACTGCTGCCCCAATCAGTTTTGTTTGTGTTATTATGTCACTTTTGCATTTCAAAAGGGTTAGTTAGGATTCACCAAAGTCAAGCAAGAACACAAAAAACTAACTGATTAAGGCAGCGGTAGACCAGCAGCTCTGTGCTCAGAGAGCCAAAATTACTGTGTTTGTCAATGAAGTGAAATCATTAACAGCTTCCATGTCAGAACAGGCTGCCTGACAAAAAGGTTAATCAGTGAAAATACTCACAGTATAGTGTACACTTAAACTGTTGTATTTTTTTTAATGTGGGACTTTTTTTGGCGGCTACAATATGTTTTGCTGCTGCCCTCGTCCACAGCAGTACATTGCTTTGCTACCATGCTGGTACTCCTGTACTAAGACGACCACATGTATGAATGTAAAATACTTTCAGGGACCGTGTTCAGACTCTGCATCCAGATAAATCAGGATTGTGTCATCTGTGGATGCAGCGTGACTGGATGCTGTCCACACATCACAACAAATGACGGACCAAATGATGAAATGCATGTATAGACCACTTATGATCTGATTTCACTTCTGACCGTATATGAAATTTATATCTCAGAGGATACTGTAAGCGCTAAACATAAAGAATACATATTTATGTTTGCAATACACTTGAATAATAGGACTGTTTGCTCACTGATATCTTGTTTTATGTGTGGACATGAAACCCCTGTCTAAGCTGTGTCATATTCTCTGTCACTGTACTTTGTTATGTGTGCTTTTTAACTAACAGCAAAGTTGAAAGAAGTTGTAAAAATGTGTTCAGTATTATATGCAGTTTAGCACCCTGTTTCAGTATAATAATGTGCTTTTTGTAACACAGCATAAAGTTTTTTTTGTAGTGTTTTGATTTTAATGTGACCTCCTATTGGCAGGTTGAGCTTTAATTTTAGTTTGTTTACACAGCCTGTTTTGAAGGTTAAAATATTGCCTCGATACATTTTTGACTGCCTTTTTATATTGTATATTACTTTTTTCTTGGACCTGTACCCAGTTGGGGATGGATATGCACATTATCTTCATCCTTTACACTGCAAGTCAAACTATTTAAGACAAATATACTTTCACATTACAGTGAATACTGAGTCACACACAACATTCATATCATCAAATATGTCTCGAATAATCACATCCCAGTATTTTCTGGATGTCTTTTAGTGCAGTCAGGCATTTGGAGCCATACGCTTGAATCAGAAATATGTTACAGTGACAGGTCAGTGTGATTCAGTTTGCATTGAAACAGGTCTATCTTGGATGGGGGGAAAAGGTTTGATTACTTTCTAAACAGACTAAGCATCTATCTATTGGATCCCACAGATAAGTAGTTGGGAACTTACCTTCACTAGACACTGGTTAGTGTGCATTGGACTGAGGAGGTCTGGGATGTCAGGCCCGGTGTACCCTTGTGAGTCAGGCTCAGAGGCAGGGTCCTGATGAAACCTCACGGCCTGGGCTGGAAGTCGACACTCATACAGCTGCTTGTATTTACTGGACACCATCATCACCTCCTCTGCCTTGGTCTAAAGGAGAAACAATGACATAACAGCTGCAGTAGCTTAGAGTGTAACAATGCCATACAGTTCTTAAGCTTACATAAACTGCCTTCGACTACCAACTAACTTTAACTGTTTTCGTGGTTTGTTATTTGCAATTTAAAGAAGTTGCAACTAGCTAGGTGAAAGTGAGGAAGCTGAGGTGTTGTGACAGCTGTCAACAACCCTTGCTGCGTAGGTCACATGGATATAACTCAAGCATTAACACCTCCTAATGTTACTTGCGAGCAAATAGTTCATTTTAAATCAGGGTTTTTAACTAGCTAACAGAGAGGCTTTTCATTACTCGCGTTAGTAACGTTAGAGGAAGATATATTTTACGCAAGCTAACGACAGCCTACTTTCTAGCTAGCAAGCTAACCGCTAGCTTCCTCCCAAAACACCCGCACTCACCTGCCCCAACATGACGGGGTCGGGAAGAATTTGAATCCCATATTTCATCTCATTCAGTTCCTCTAAGTTCAAGAAGGCTGGGACACATAGGGGACATATCGCGAAGAAAACGTACAATCTTTTTAGCCACCGTACCAAGGAAGCAGCCATGATTGATTCTCGCCTCATATCCCCATTTGTCTGACAGCAACAACAAAACACAGAACTTCTGACATGGTAGCAGCTGATTGGTCAAAGTGAGAAGCGCTGCTCTGTCATTGGCTGATTTTTTGCGTCTGTCAACGGTTATACAGTTCTGGGGTGTGTTAGTTTATATTACCAGCGTGGAGCGCATGGGCGGTACTCTACCTTTGTGGCATGTTAAGCAACACGCATGTCGGCTGTCAGCGTATGTCTTTGTATAAAACAAACTCCCACATTGGTACTGACACCGGGTGTCCGCTGGGCTGATGGATGAGGCGTGTTGTAAACCAATTTGACCAAATTGCAATCATGCGGATTATTTTTATTAGTGGGTAACACCGCACTATTTTTTTTTAAAAACAGCACAATAAAATGTGAATTCCAACTGTGTGACATGCATTTAATCGAAATTTATTATTTGCATAATAGGCTACAGCTAGTAAACGATGGAAATATAGGCAGACCGTCAATTTAAAAAAAATGCACACATACATTCCCACACATGACACCAGACACACCAAACACATAGGCCTACGTGCACAAACGCCCACACCCACCCATCCACACACACATATGCACACATTAATGTTGAGTTATGTTCATGAGCAGGTCCAGTTGTCGCAACGTACCATCCATTATTTGTTTTTAAACCGTGCTTTCGTTCGTATTCAGCTCATGAGGTGTGTTGTATGCATGGGTGTATAAGGAGAAGGTTATGTTGTGGTCGTATGTCGGGGCTCCATGACGCTGCTGCTCCGCTGATTGACCGCTGAGTGTAGTGTTGAGGTGCCGTGCGCTCTCTGCCGTGCTGCTGCTGCTGCTGCTGCTGTTGCAGGGGGAGCGTCCGTCCACAGCCTGCAGTGCTGCGATGTGCGGCCGCCTCGTTTGTCTCTTGGCTGCTCCATTTTTCCACATCTGATCCCATTTGGAGGACCACAGAGGAACACATTCATTAAGAGGGGCGACCTCCGTGCAGGCGTGAGGTGAAACAGCCTACACGGTGCGTCTTTGAACTGAGGTGAGCTCCCGTGTTCTTATGATTTGACTGGAATAATAATGTCAATGTCCTCTGTCTGTTATTTTTTTTGTCGTTTTTTTAGCTATTGGTGAACATTTGGCGGTTTCTTTACCAGGCAAATCATGAGAAAAAACAGGCGTGAACATTTTCGGAGCCAAATAATTGTCGAGAAATGCCAGAATGCAATAGATCTTTGTTTTAGATTAGATTTAAGGAGCATGGAAGGAATGTAATCGAAAACCCTCATAAGCTTGGAGTGCATGTTTTTTTCCTGCAGTCTTATTCACGACAAGGTAGGCTAATGGGCCTGTCTGAGAGATCGTATTATTTCAGCAGCCATTTATGTTAGCTGGACAGATGATGGCACTTTCACATTTTCTCTCAGGCTTTAAGGATGCCGGGCAGCAAAGAGGAGTTGTTGATGCAGAGCAAAAATGCGGTAATTTAATATTCAGACTGTGAATGAGGCAACAAATCTGTCACGCGCACTTTGGGAGGGACCCATAGTCCATGTCTCAGGCATGTCCACAGCTTTCCTCATGTCCTTATAGGCTCGTTTTTAGGTTAATTAAAAACAGCAGCGCAGCTAATACAGTTAGCCTGTGGAGCTTTCCTTGTGACTTCAGATCATCTGTGTCTAAGTATGGTCCAACAATCCTTCCATCATGCACAATATGTATTCATATGCAAGGCTGAGCCTCTGTGAGGAATGTGTGGTTGAATTAAGCTCAGCAGAACACAGATCACACCTCATGTTACAAAAAAGATTGATGACGATTCTCCTGTAAGAATTACTTCATATTCTTCCTGTTCCTCATAGTTTTAAGAAGTGGAATAGGAAGAAGAAGATAATTTATTAATCCCAGAGAGGAAATTCAATTTTTGTATTATGTTATGACTCAATCCTCAAATTTATAGTGTGTTTTTGAAGATATGATCCTTTTACATCAATTTGTGATTGAATAGTTTTAACCACTATTTTTTTGTTGTTAAAATCTGCATATTTGAAGAATTCTGAGATTCATAATTGTGGATTTAGTCAACTGTGACATATTTATCTAGACAATAGAAAGGACCGTGAACCTAAAGGCCTGGCTGCAATTTGTAGGGTGCATACATAATTTCCTGCATTCTGGTTATTTTTCATGCACTGATTTGTGCCTACTCTGCTTTATTTTTTATGTAAAGTCTATAAGTTTGTCAAATTAAAAGTCCTCTGCTGCTTTCATGTTTTTATAGGGAACACATATTCTAAATACTGAGGGGGACGTGCCCCCTGTGTTCCCCCTGAGATCTACACCTGGATGTGAAATAAATCCAATCCTCTGTTCTCTGATTTGCTTTGCACTTTGATTCCATGTCTGTGGAGGAAGTAAAACTTATGAGTTTGTTAAATATAAGCTAATGCACACATGGTGTAACAGAACAGGAAGAAGAAGTGCTCTTTAAGGCACACTTTGAAAAAAACATTGGAGAGATATTTAAGTGCACAGGTCCACAGCAGCCCATCTGATTGGCTGCTAACTGCTGAGCCTATCCTATTGATTTTTTTCTAGCTTACCACAATAAAGCTAAATTGGTCTTCCCCCCAGCCCTGCAGGATTTCCCCCAGGGACTGTGAGACCATGCTAGCAGCTGATGAGGCACCATATGGGCGCCGGACTGTGTTTTTATATGATGATGTAATTGCTTTGTGCAGTTTTGCATACATTTATAATTCTTTGGGGGCTCATCTGTGATGTTTTAATGATTTTTTTACCCTTTATTTTATTATTCATTTGGCTGATTTCTCTTTGTTTCCAGATGGGGAAGGCACTCACTCATTTCTGTGACTATCTACATGGTTTTTGGAGATGCAGGTGTCTACAGAGGATGCCCTTACACTGACTGGATAGAGGCAGTTGGGTAAATTTTCTTACTTACTAAGCACATGTGCAGGGATTGAAATTAAGATAAAAGAAGTTAAAGGTCCATTGTGTGGGATTTAGGGGGGGAATGAGATATATAGTATTTATAACTATGTTTTCATTTGTGTGAAACCACCTGAAACTAAGAATCAGTGTGTTTTTGTCACCTTGGAATGAGACGATTAGATCTACATATGGAGCAGGTCCTCTCCCATGCAGGCCCACAGGAAGTGCCCCAGGCTTGGAAGGCAATTTTCGTAGTGGCCAAACAGTGGAATTACACCTTCTGAGTCTGTCATGTGATGCCGCTGGGCCCAAAAATACTTTTTTTCTATCGACATTGTGAAAGAGATATATGTGAATTAGAGCTCTCATTCTCAGGCTCTCAGGCTTGAATCGTGTCGGGTTCTCACAAATTTACCTGTGTTTTGTCTTTATAAAAATGGCAATTGTCATGCGTGAATGGTAGGAGTTTGAATGGACTGAATCAAGAGGATAAGAGAAGGAAAAAGGGGGGAATGCGACCGAGAGATGGAAAGTAACTGTGCATTCACACCAAAAGCATCATGAGCGCCAGCGGTCGCTCAGGTCACACATCAGGTCGCATCGCGCTGCCTGGCAGCTCTGGCAGGGCTTGCAGAAGGCTGCCAAGGGGCAGGGCTTTCAAGCTGCGCTGCAGATGTGTTGTGTGCATTCTAGTTAACCCACCTGTTCACCCAGCTTACATTTTATGTGCTTTGCATTTGTTTACATGGATCTACACGTGTATATGAGCATATTTTACATACCAGCATAATTACTAGCTTATTTAATGGCTTTATCATTCATTTTATCCATTCTAACTAACCTACCTGTTCACCTAGCTTACATTTTATGTGCTTTGCATTTGTTTACATGGATCGACACAGGCCTATTTTACTTACCAGACAAACCAACAATTTCAGATACCCTTTTCCAAGCATCTGACTTCTTCTGGATGTCTCTGTAAATAAACAGAGACACATCATATAGCTCCGGGAAACCGGAGACCGCCACAATCAATTTCTCCTCCATTTTCGTCTTCTCTTTCTTTTTTCTTTCACTGTCCCGCCTAGAATATTCTGCAAGTGGCTGCTGCTTGCTGCCGGCAAATACCACAGCTTGGTCAGAGGTTTCGATTCAAAAAGGCATCCTTTCGCGGCAGTCTGATACCACCGTTCGTGGCAGTCGAATGTTTTTGGCTTCATGTGCCACTGAGCAAATTTCTTAGGAATGAACGGGGCCCCGCCTCTAACACTGTATCCAGCTCTTGTTATAAATCCATGCTACTCCATGGAGTCCGCCATGTTTTTTCTACAGCAATCCAAAATGCACAAACCAACACTGGCTCCACTTAAGGCCCTACTCATTTTAACGTTGGCCACTATAGTTTTGATGCAAGCTTTGCATGCGGGAGAAGTTTCAGTTGGTTGTAATCTGCAATGTCACCACTAGAGGCCGCTAAATCCTACATACTAGAGCAATGGTTCCCAACTGGTTCAGCAGCGGGGTCCAGATTTCTCTTTAGTCATTAGCCCAAGGTCTACACAGTTTGATATATTCAGCGGCCATGTCTTTGAGCTAGTTTGGTGTCTCTGTTTCATAACTGCCCATTGCTCACCCACTGTGTTAGCTTGTGAGGAATAAGAAATTTTGATCCCACAAGCCATGACCGATTAAAAATTTAGAACGCTTTTTAAAGTGTTTGCAGTAATTTATAGCAACAAACAGCAATACCAAAAAGACAGGACAGGACAATGGGCCTCATTCACTAATATGTGCGTGGAAATGTTCTTTGCGCACAAAATAAGTGCGTACGCAAAATCACCATGGGATTCATGACACCTGCGCACCGGCCAATTTTGTTCTCACCACCTTGCGTATGTGTGTGATCAGAATCATTCTAAATTGACAGGCGCGTGCTCACAATTTGTGATTAGCATACTACCACGCCCCCATTTCTCCATATAAGGAAACCGCTTGCCTAGAGTTGATTCATGAATGAGGGAAGCGGTTACGCGAGGAGAGAAGTAGTAAATTTCACAGTGTTAGAAGCGATGGCGCCGGGTCTTACAGGAATGCCATGGGTCATTGCAAGATTGTAGAGGACACAGCATGCCAGGATGATCTTGCACACCTTCTCAGGGGTATAAAGTAGTTTGCCACCAGCTGTATCCAATCCAAACACATCCAACGGCCCTTAAGCATGCCAAAAGTGCGCTCTACGGCACGTGTGGGCATGTATGTTATTATAGTGCACCTCTTGAGGGGTTTCAGGGTTTGCGTATGGTGTCATCAGCCATGTTTTAAGGCCATATCCCCGGTCACCTAAACAATATAACATTTTAGCATTAACGAAATAGAGACTTACTGAAAATACTAACTTAAAACAATTGAAATAAAAGACTAGAACAAAAGATGCTCACCAACAAGCCATCCACTTCTCACAGCTCCTGCCTCCAAACGCATTCCCACTGTACTGTTTTGTTAAATAAATGAGTCGTGGGTGCCTCCTGGCCAGCGGGCCACAGCGTTAAGGATATGGCAGTCGGCATTACAGATCATCTGCACGTTGATGGAGTGATAGTTTTTTCTGTTCATGTTGTTGTTAATATTTTAATTGTCACAATGATGAGGGTGAACGTGTGTCAATTTCATGGTTATTTAATACATTTGGCCAATATATTAGTAAATTAATGATTTTAAAAAATGTTAATTAAATCTCTTTTTAATGAATGTGGTTTTATAGACTCTGCATGTACTTAAAAGGTATGTGTTTGCATTTTCTAAGTCAGTTCGGCCATCTTCATTTGTGCGTATGCATGGTCTGAGGTAGTTCTAAATTTGTTCACAGAGTAAGAACAAATTCGGATAAGAAAATATTGATGAATCCCAGATTTGTGTGTCAAATGATCGTACACACAGTTTAAGCACAGATTTGTGCGTACGCACTGTTTGTGAATGAGGCGCAATATCTGTGTGAACAGAGCAATTTGGGACACAAATAAAGAAAGCATCCTGCAGAATCCTTCTGAATAACTACAGTTATTACATGTGTGTCACAGCAAAACAAATTTTGCTGTTTCTTGAAATTGTCACATCATAATAAAGGCATTCCTTTCCTTCCTTTCCTATTCCTGTAACATGTTTTTGTGGCTGAGAGAGCTTAAAAAAGTTCTTCATATGGTGGCCATATGAATTGGTGTAAATGCTGAACTCCTCTTGACTCACTGTGCTTGAACAGAATAAACTCTGTTAAATGTCGACCAAGTTCTACAGTTACAGGCCAAAACATCTGAAATTGTGAACAGATGGTGGTGTTGAGTCGACTGATAGAAAAAAAAGAAAGAAAGAAATGAAGAAAGCCCCTCAGATACTTGGTGCGCGGTCAGATGAGATCATCACACCGTAGCTTCAGTAAGACAACCTTCTCTCAGTCTCTAGAATGTTTCTCAGACCAAAAACCCACCCACGACATTCATCTGTGATATCTCATTCAGAGCGGAAATAGAGTTTTTGTTCATCACAGTTGGAAGGTTGGACAAAGGAATCACTGTGTACTGGTATGTTTCTAAAAATTTATACATCTGCATTCTGTAGCTGTAGCAGACGTGAGGAGAGGAGAGGAGAGGAGAGAACTCCCACATGCTAAATTTATTTGTTTTTTAAATGTCGCTGTAAAATGCTGACTCTAATTTTACGTATACCAAGCTTGCTGATCTGAAACTGCGTTCTGGTAACGCAGAAGGCTAGAGACAGCTGTGTGTTTTATCACTGGTTTCAAAAATATACTTTTACTCTGCCTGAGCATGTGCAGAACCACAATGTTGTCACATGTCAAATGTAGTGAGCACAGTTAAACAGGAGAAGGTTAAGTAGCCATATTGCTGATTGTTTGTTGTTGTTCAGACCACATTTTAGATGCCAGAACATTAAACGACACCACACTGAGCAACATAGATATGTAGATACCATCTAGGATGCAGGTCTTTATTTAATAAGTGCTTCTACATCCATTTCCTTTGCGCCACTAAGTGGCTCCATCATAAATGTAACCACAGGGCATATTGCTCCACAGCTCTGAAGCCTGAGCTGATTTTTTTTAATGTCTGTCTTAGACAACATGTTCATATTTGTGATGGGGGACAATGAGCCACAGTGTTAAGTTCTGTGCAAAAATGTAGTCTAAAGTGGAGCCAATGTTAAAGGAACAGTTCACCCTAAAATCAAAATACAAACAGCATTTTCTCCTTTTACCTGTAGTGCTATTCATCAGTCTAGATTGTTGTAGTGTGAGTTGCAGAGTGTTGGACACATTGACCTTAGAGATGTCTGCCTTCTCTGGAATATAATGGAACTAGATGGCACTCAGCTTGTGGTCAAAGCGCCCAAAAATACATTTGAAAAACTCAACAGCAATGTGTCTTTCCAGAAATCATGACCTGGTTACTCAAGATAATCCACAGACCTTGTTGTGAGCAGTTTCATGTAGGAACTATTTTCTTTCTACTGAACTACGCCTGCAAACCAAATCAGAATGCACAGAATGAAGTGTCCATCTACTGTGGCTCACTGAGCGAGCTAACTTTATAGCTCAGCTGAGGAGGACGCCATAAATGTTTAGATTTGGCTCTGTCACAAGCAAATGCCTCTTGTCCGTGAGTAGATACACGCTTCCTTCTGTGTGGTGATACGGTTGGCGGGTGTAGTTCGGTAGAAATAAAGTTCCGACGTTGTTGAGGTTTTTTTATGATTTTTTTGGCACTTTGAGCACCACAAGCTGTGCCATGTAGTTCCATTACAATTGAGAGACGGCAGACATCTCTACGGGCGATATCTCCAACACTATGCAACTCACCCCATCTAGACTGATAAACAGCACTACATGTAAGAATAATAATATGTATTTTTGATTTTAGGATGAACTGTCCCTTTAATATGAGGTTTCAACAGTGAGAGTCAATCAAATCAAGTGGATATCTTTGAAGGTTTCAGGCTTTTCAGAACAACATTCCCTCTTTCTGTTTGCTGCAGTGGAGACTACTGAAGCCTCCCAACAGCTCCAGCTCTTTATGGCAAGTGTGGACAGGAGTCCTTCAACATACATTTGTCTGCGTCAGGTTTCAGGATGCGCTCCCTGAGAAAGACAGTGTTGCTTGCCATCCTGGTGTCTGTGGTGCTGGTGCTGGCCCTCCTCCATTCATGGCCCACTCGGGCTTACACCACAGTGGATGTGTGGCAGCGACCAGGGGCAGTTCTAGAGAGACATCTGGAGGACAGGCTCCCAGAACCAGACCACAGATTAGGCAACATCCCCTTTCACGTGAGAGACAGTGTGGCGAGGTAAGTCTATTAATTTACTCCATTTATCAACATGACCAGAGCAGTGTAAACCAAGTTTCCTCACATGCATGTGTCTCCGATTGTCTGTCCAGCTTGTTGGCACGTAACAGATGTGTGTGTGAGGGTGAGAGTGGAGGAGTAAACCTGCCCTTCGCCCAACTTTTGTTCCCGCGGGTGTCAGCTCACCCGCTGCACACCGCCTTTGAGGCCTCCGAGCTGGAGGAAATGAAGAGGAGACGGGCCAAAGAGTACAAGAGTTTCCAGGAGAGGTGAGCAGCACTGTAAAACACATATATCAGATATTATGGAGCATGAGCTGTATTTCAACTGCTAGAAAAGCACTTCCTGAATACCATTTTAATTTGGCTTTATTTGACTAAAATCAGCTTCAGTTCAGTTTGGTGCCTCTTAGGATTCACGATTCCATCTTTAACCAGGACACAACAGCAATTGAAAGAAGCATTTCACTGCTGGAAAGATGGGCCTTTAATAAACTGGGCTGTCTATGCAGTACTAAGATGCAAATACTTTTGAGAATGGTGCTACATAACCAGAGTAAACAGAGGAAAAGGGCTGTGGCAGTCACTTTTTCTCAAGACAGAAGATAAAATATAGAACTTTATTTATCCCAAGGGAAATTGCTGTGCAGCAATTGCAACACAAGCTTGGTGAGTGCAGATACAAAGAGTGGATTATACATGGACTAAAATAATAAAGCAAAGAGGGTGGCAAATTTAAAAACTAGATAACAGTAAGGTACAAATTATAAAACTAGCTGCAAGTGCAAATAAGTTGTGATCCAAAATATACAATATCAAAAACACAAGTGGAAAACCTGAATCCACCAGAACGCACTGGGCCACACCAGAAATTTAAATGCTCCTGCTGTTGGATGACTTAATGCGAGTTTCCCATCTAAAAACAACATGTCAGCCAACTGTTAAACAGTCTAGTATTACAGATAACAGACAGTGAGATAAAATATGTTTCTGAAGTAGTTTTAGGCATACATTTTGATTTGAGTTTTTCCTGAGTTTAAGATAGAGGAAGAGAGATTTGCTTCTATACTCTTTGTTTCCTAATATGGGAATACAATCTGTAGTTTGAGCAACAGCCTGTCTACAAAAATCCACCAAATGACTTGTTTGATTTGAGCTGAGAGATGAGCAGGGAGATCTGGGTGCTGGTAAGATGGAGGGAAGTTTACCACAGTTCATTTACACATATTATCCACACTCTTAACATACAAAGCTGAATGAAAATCAACAAAGTGTCCCTTTAAGTATTAAGGACATGCAAATGGAACTCATCTACTACTCTACTCATCTTCTTTCCTCCCTACACTGGTTCCTTTCATACCTTTAACACTGAAAAGTTTTGTCTACAATTTTTTGCTCAGCCAAGAACAAAATCACAAGGTGACAAGGTCTTTTATTAATAGCTGCTATTGAATTCTCTGCTGTTTGTGTTTTTAGAGCAGAAAATAGATTTGGATATGAACTCGCATAATGTAGTGTTGGGTATTTCTTGTCTTTTGTACATAGATGATTGTCTGTTTTTATGTGGTACCCTATGGACCTTTCTCTGTGTCCTTAATAAAGTAATTTCTATTATATGATATTATTATAAGTGCTTTTTTTCTGCATTTTCTATTCCTGTTTTGCATATGGATGTACAGTGTGTTGTACTGTATGAAGGCTGCAGTATGCATCTTCCTGATGTGGATTTTTTCTCCCCTTCAGGTCACAGACACCTGCAGATGTTCTCATTGTTGCAGAGGCTAACAATCCCTTACAGTACCCAACACAGGGGGTGGAGGTACGACCCCTGAAAACAGTCATCATTCCAGGTAAGACTTCAGAGAGAGTGGGACACACTTTTAGACCTATTTATAAAATTAGATCTCTGTCCAACAGTTGAAACTTTTGGATTATCTGGTGACACAAGTGCTGCTGTATTACATTTGATTATTTAATTGAGGCACTGAGGACGGCGATGACCACAGCTAATAAAACATCAAGTCACTTCTTGAACCAACCTAGAGCTGGCACATTTGTGCCACTGTACGTCCAGTACTGCACCAGGCTGGTGTACCAAAAGCACACTGGATTGAAAAAACCAGGAAACACAGAGAGCAAATACATACAGAAATTATCACTCATGGTAAGAGTGAGTACTGTAAAAATTGCAAAATGCCTAAAGAGAAAGTTAGCAGCACGCTCATTCCTCAGAAAGCACTTTGTTTTCACTCATGCTGACAGGAAGTGGATACAATGGCTGACTGTTGAAACTAAAAGTCTGTCAATCCATATGCTTTCAGGCTTGGCCTTACACGACCTTCCCAGAGACTACTACTCAGTAAGTCTGTCACCATGTTTGTCTTTACACATTTTAGTTATCTGCTTTGCTTTTGTCTCATCTACCTTTTCTTTCCATCATGCTGCAGATAAACATCTCTGCCACGCTGGGAACGCTGAATGTGGCAGCGGAGGTAGATGGGGTGAACATCAAAGGTGATGGCGAGATGCACATGACTCTGTCCGGCAGCCTCCTGCCGAACCTGAACCGACAGCTGCAGTTTGTCACCTACACAAACACACTGTTCCACCCCAGCACAGCAGACACAGGTGAGGCCTTAAACTAAAATCATCTTTGTTATTCTTTCTTTTCTTTTGTTAGAAGTTATAGGGGACACTGGAAAAAAGCCTGGCTCTGTCTAAAGGTGATTAAATCTTCCTAACAGCATTAACACATGACATCTCTTTTGTTTAATCCTCACAAAAGACACCAGAAAGCAAAGTGTCAAAACATCAATATGTGGTTATATGTTGCCATTACACCTATGTGTGTTAAAATATGTGGGTCTCAGTAGTTGCTGGGCAACCAGCGGAGATAGACTGCTCCAAGGATGATTTTTTCTTTAAGGTCACCACTCAGGTTAGCATCTCTGTGGTTCCTTGACAAAAGGCTAATGATGGTCTTCCATTAGCATTAGTTTGCTCTGTGGCAAACAAAAGATTATGACAGATTTTGTTTACAAATGAAAACCTCTATTATTATTTTTGAACCATAAGTGCAGTCGCTAGAAGTAAAAAGCTAATGTTAGGCTATAAATGACAGCTGACTTCAGCATTGCCACCACAAGGCTGTAAAACCGTGTAAGGCATGATGACGTTCTGCAGTCTCCTTTAGCCACCTGCTAGCAACTGTCTTTTTTAAAGGTGAAGTGTATAAGATTTAGGGGGATTTAGTGGCCTCTAGTGGTGACGACTGCAGATTGCAATCAGCTGAAATTTCTCCTGGCTAGAAATCCTTCACTGTTTATTGTTCAGGAGGTTTTTACCAAAAGTCGAATTATCAACAGAGGTCTCCTCCTCTCCGAAATAAACAGACCAGGTGATGAAAACCAGAAAGAAAAACATAACATACAGCAGTTTTACATCATAAATCAATGTTTACCCGACATTGCTCATTGCAGATGGGCTTCTTACTAAGGTGGCCAATGTGAAAACTTAATTGGCCCTATCCAGAGTCAGTGTTTGGTTTGTCCAATCTTGGCTACTGTAGAAACATGGAGGTGCAACATGGTGATCTCCATAAACCTGCTCCCTACGTAGATTTAAACGGCTCATTCTAAGATAACAGAAACACAACAATTCTTATTTCCAGGTGATTATACACTAAGGAAAACATACTTATTGTATTGAATTTCTGCCAATATATCAGCCTAAATCCTACGCACTGGACCTTTAAGACAAGTAGACGTTTCAAAATCATGTGCAGGGTATTTACTGATGTATTTTACGTCGTAGAACAAAACGTAAAAGTCTCTTAAGCTTGTGTGAACCACAGAGCTTATTTCAGGCATCTAACCAAAAATCCACTGATTTCAGTAAGTGGGAACCAGAGGTGCTAACATGCTATCTCAATTCCGGCTTTTAGGACTCATTCCTGTAGCACTCTATTCCAGGATGTGACTGGCGCCGGGCCCCCAGCCAAGAAATTGTTTCTTTTACATGTCTGTTTTCTCACAGATTGGGCAAACAACTGTAAAATGTGCATTTTTTAGCTTTGGAGGTGTATTATGTTACCCTCTGACAAAGCCAGGCAAGTCATTTCCCTCCGTTTCCAGTCCTTATGCCATGCTAAGCTAACTGGCTGTAGCTCCATACAAACATGAGAGTGGTTTCAATCTTCTCACCTAACTGTCCACCAGAAGACGAAAAACATGTTTCCCAAAATGTCAAACTATTGCTTTAAAGATTTGATTGGATTTGATCTAATAATTCAATGTGTTAGTGTTAGTTTTTCCTTTTAACGGCTCCACACTGGCTGTTGGTCACCATGTAGAAATAATAGTCCAATATTTGCAAAGGTTTGGACACTATCTCTTTGTGTAAAGCTTGGCAGCCAATCAGGAGGCAGTCTAAAAATACGGCCTGCTTCACTAGTAACAATGGTCAACGCCTGACCAAGGACCAATTTTATCTGTCTAGATTGTTCACGTCCTGTTACCCTCATATGGCAGTGTTAATAATTATTCATCTTTAGTGGATAGTTACAAAATATGACATTGAGTACATGTAGATGTTTTACTCCAATCAGGATATTAACAACTGTGGAGCCATCAGCCTCGGGTAGATCCTATTACACTGATTAAATTCATTAAAACTAGTTTTTGTTGTGTCTTTCAGTGCAGTTTGAGACAGAGGGACATCAAGCCAGCTTCAGTATCAAGATTCGGCATGGTGTGACACCCAAACTGTACAACACAGGATCCAAGGGAGGTAAAACACAACACCTTCAATCATAAGCCTTATATTTTTTTAATATAATCATCTGCTCTGAAGACAAAAGCCAAATATCCTCTAATGGTTGTTTGATCTCCCTTTTCCGTAGAATACAACGTCAGTGCCCTTGTTACCATAGCAACAAAGACTTTCCTGCGTTATGATAAGCTCCAAGATCTTATCGACAGCGTGAGAAAATACTACCCCACTGTCACCATAGTAATCGCCGACGACAGCGAAAACCCCAAAACAATTTCCGGGCCTTACATCGAACATTACATCATGCCTTTTGGAAAGGTAGGGGAAGTGTCAGACATACACATGTTTTATGTGGATATCCAGTCAGCATTAATGGTAAATGTAGTCAACTGAAGCAATGAATTCCTCAGTGTGTGCCATACTCACCAAGAAAGCAGAGTTCTCCTGCTCACAGAGCAGTGCTTGAGATGCCTACATGTCCCATGATGCATTGCAAGTGAGCCTCTGATGCCTATAGTTATTGCTTTGTTGGCAAAACAGTAGTGTAGCTGAGGTTTATGAGTTATGCCCATACTTCTGCAGGTGACAAAATAAAAACACAGAGGCTCTGCAGTCTGAACTAGAGCAACACTGCAGCTTCACTCCATCTGTTTTTCGCCTTTTACAGTAAAAGCCCAACTTGGATTACTCAGAACCTTCGTTAAGAGGTAACTCAACAGCATAGCTTACACTGGAGGTAAATGACAAAAATACTCAGTAGTCATTTGCCCTCTTGGCCCTGCTGGTCTAAGTTCAATCAGGAGAGACAGAAGACTGAAGTTAAGATAACATTTAATACAGAATATGAGTGTATAAATTAACAGATAATTTGTGCTGATTAAGATTTTCTTTGGCGCTTGGACACCAGAGGGAGATATTTTGTGAATTAGGGACATTTGAGCAGCAGCAGGATCAATCCCCCCATGGAGTCCAGACACTGGTGGTGGTGGTGGCTGCTGACTCTGAGGCTGCTGACTGCTGAGGTGGATGAGGCTGATGAATCCGTAAAGACTGGGTGGTGATGGGGAGGTGGAGGGCAGGCACAATGGCATCAAGAAAGAACTACAGCAGAGAGAGAACCATATTTAAAATGAGGAGCGTTAAGATGATAGGCTGACAGAAAAGGTGTGTCGCTGTGCTACTGGTTGATTAAGAATCAGCTGATGACTGAATTGACCTACCTAGACAATGACACCCAGAGATAGTGAGTGAGCATACGTGCAAGGAGTGAAAGGGCAGGGTGAGAAAGAAACTTACAGCCTGAGCATGAAAAGTATTGTCTTCCTGACTGAACTTTCACTAGAGCTTCATTTGTCTTTTCCAGTGTCGATGTTTGCTCTCAGCAGCTGGAGAAATCCAGCCTGTAGTTCTTCTTGCCTCCAACTACATCACTGTTTTGTCAAATAATGGAGCTGGGTGCAGGAGGAACAACACGTTTTGTAGTTGCCAGCTCAGCTTTCTCTGTCTATTTAAAGCGCAGTGATGACTTTATAGCTTTAAGCGAGTACTTTTACCATCAACACTGACTGAACATCCACAAAAAAGATGGTGGATTGTCTCTTTAAGTCTTTTAATGTCACATTGGTGCTCTTTGGTGTTTAAGCTGTACGCCATGTGTCACAGGGTTGGTTTGCTGGACGAAACCTGGCCGTCTCGCAGGTGACCACAAAGTATGTTCTATGGGTGGATGATGACTTCATCTTCACAGCCAACACCAAGCTGGAGAAACTGGTGGATGTTTTAGAGAGAACCACTCTGGATCTGGTGAGGGATGGCCCCTTCGTTTTAATTGACTGTGACGGTGGTGGTGTTGCTGTCACTCATGTTAGTGTGTGTGTTTGTGTGTGTGTCCAGGTGGGTGGTGCAGTGCGGGAGGCCACAGGTTACACTGCCACCTACAGACAGACCATCTCCATTGAGTCAGGGGAGGAGGATGGTGACTGTTTACACATGAGGAGAGGATTTCATCACATCATCCAAGGTTTCCCCAACTGTGTTGTGACTGACGGGGTCATCAACTTCTTCCTGGCTCGCACCGACAAAGTCCAGCAGGTCGGCTTTGACCCGCGCCTCACCAGAGTAGCTCACCTGGGTGAGTACAATAAGAATTACATACAGATGGGAGCAGAGATATGACTGTAAACAATGTAATTTAAACATGTTTACAGTACATACTATTATCACCCAGGAGTCCATAATCAAAAATGCTGTTTACACCCAGAGTGTATATTCATGGGTGTTCTAGCAACTTCGTAATATGACATTACCACGGACAAGTCTTTTCTGCTACTGTTCATGTACACAGTGTGCATGCAGCAGCTTTGTACATCCTAAAAACTGAAAATAATAAGTCATTTGAGTCTAAAAATAATAAGCCAGTCCCAGTCTCCTGTGTGTAAATCCAGTGCTTATCCCGTCATCCACCATATCTTACTTTCTCCGTGGATTTTGTTAGTCTATATATGACGTTACCTGACTTTCTGGCAGTACATTTGTGAGTTTTTTCTCTTAAATTCACCATTTAATCTCAGAGAAATGAATATCCCTAACCCTCCCCAAGGTTAACATTAGCTGCTCCATGAGCTGACCCTGACCCTTGCACTTTGACCTGATGTGATGTAATTTTCACATTAGATTTGAAGAATTAATTAAATATGCACTCTTTAAACTTTTTTTCAGCCCACAATTTATGGTACAGTAGCCATCCATTTACAGACTGTGTTTTTCCACCCCTTGTCAATAGGGGGTGCTGCAGCACTCTCTACACCCACCTCCCTGCCCTTCCTGCGCCCTAGCATCAATGTGACAGTACTAGCCAGTCACAGCACACAGTGGGATTCATAGTAAGGTGTCATAGGCATGTGTGAAAATAGCTGAATAGCTGCAGTGTGACTGTTCTCTCCCAGGTGCAAATAGACACTCTGGATGTATATATTGTGTTTTAGCATTATGATTATGACAATGAACACATGATAGTCATTTTCTTAAAGTCCCACATGTAGAGAAGACACAGCAGCGTGATGGTAAATACACATTTATCAGAGCAGGATGTTAAAGAGGTGAAAACTGTGTCCCACCTCTACACGAGTACACATAGTAATCCTACATGACGTGATTTGACAATTTTTTTCGTAGTGGTTCTTTGTACTTAGAGGAAATTATACAAGATGTGAAGGCATGGATGGTAGTTGGTCTGTCTTCACTGGTTTGCACTGCAGATTAAATTTACCTCAGTGAGTTTGGGGCTTTATATAAAGGTAGCGACCAGTCATTGAGATAGTATCATATACCAAGATAATCATTGCAAAGAAATTATACTGTGAAGTTTTCTAATCAGCGTGTGCCGACATCCCAGAAACAGTGCTCTGTAATTAAATTAAATGCACTAATGAAAGAAAATTAAATTTAACTTCAGTTTAGCCCTCGAATATCCAGTTTCCCACTTCTCGCCCATTAGCTTTTACGTCGTGTGATATCCTCTCATGTTTTATGGCTGCATTGTTCCAGCAAATGGAAATATTCTAAATGTCTTGTACATCAATTTTCATTGTGTATTTTGTATTTTATTTCATTTTTCCTATACTTGACATATCTGGTGTCTTTGGAAGAGTTATTGTAGAAATCTTGAGGTTTTGAGGAAAGGCTAGCCTACTGCGTGAGGTTTAAGAGGTTAAGTCAGTTAGACTTTAGATTAACTGAGACCCACCACAGGGGATATTTAGAGGGGGATAGCAGGTCAACAGTGTATGCCACAAAGAAGTGGTATACCCTGTGAAAATGACCATGCCAGTTTTTCCCCTACCGAAATGTAGGCTAACTTTAGGGCATTATTTTGCCCCCTTCCCAAAAAGCTAGCTTGACATGTTTGGTACCAATGGATGCCAGTACTGTAACTCTACAGCCTCTAAGTGACAGTATTGTAGGCTGTGATCGTCGGCCAAGATGGCCATTGATTCCCTGTCTCTCTTAGGGTTGAAGTGAGCTGAAGTTCTGAATGTATTTGGCTGAATCATTTATCTTGTGTTTGTTTTGCAGAGTTTTTCATCGACGGCCTGGGATCTCTCCACGTGGGCTCTTGTGATGATGTCATTGTCAACCACGCGACCAAAATCAAACTCCCCTGGGTCAGCCAATCAGAGAGCAACAAGGCTTATGCCAAGTTTCGTTACCCGCCGGCCTCCTCTGAAGCCACCCACACGAAAAATGGCCTCCTGTTCTTCAAGAACCGATTTCAGTGTTTGACTCATAATTAGCTCCTCTCCTCCTTATCCCGAGGGTTCCTCTGCTCCTCCTGAGTTGCCAAAGAAGTTCTCTTCCTCCGCCTCTCAGATCAGATTTCCGACTTTGGTTAGCCTTTTCTTGAAAACCTTCACGAGAAGATTCAAGCTTCAGTGTAGAGAAAATGCGCCTTTAGAGCAGTTTTAGCATGTTTATTCTGTCAGTGCTAAAAAAAAGTCTTCAGTGAATATGAAGAAGGCCTAGGCTCTCCAGAGAGAAGAGAATCAGCTGTAGTAACAAACATCTTGTTTACACAGACCCACTTCAATCCCAATATCATTTTGATTAATTCAAGGATTCAAATCGTATGTGGCGACACACCCTCGACTTGTCGTAACACAGAGACCAAGCTTTTAAAACCCAACAGGTAGCATCTTTACAGTCTGAGTCATTCAAGGTTAATATGAACAGAGGTACATGTGTCCTCCTTCAATTTGCACTATCCAAACAATAGCCTGGAAAAGCAATAGCAGTGTCTGAGGACAAGGGGACACTTCTCGGAAAGTGACAATCCTGCAGACACAAAGCACACTGTAGGTATTCTTCTCACCAATGCCACATGAAGAACGCATTCAGAACTTTTCCACCTGCGGTACCTGCACTCTGCGACTGACTCGTTGTGCCAAAGGTTCGGCTGCTGGCTTTTGGGTGTTTTTATCTCTGTGTGTTCGGTTTTGCCATCCATACCCTCCATCCATTGTCCTCTGCTGTCTGTCGCTCTCAACAAACATCTAAACAAGAAGAGGAGGAGCGTTTCTGTCCAGTGCACGCTGATGAATGACAAAGACAGTGACTGCATCTTTTCGTGCTGCCTAAAAGAAAAAGTTGAATGAACCAAAGTGCATGTTTATTTTTCCTCATCATAAGAAAAAAAAACTAGCACATTGAGACAGAATTAATGAGAGTTCGATGGTAAATTAAAGGAACAGTGTGTAAGATTTAGGGGGATTTAGTGGCATCCAGTGGTGAAGACTGGAGGTTGCAACCAGCTGAAACTTCTCCTGGTTAGAATTCCTTCAGCGTTTATTGTTCTGGATGTTTTTAGCGGTCTCTTCCTCTCCAAAACAAACAGACTTGGTGGTTTAACAGTAAAAACACTAAATAAAGCAGTTTCATGTGAAAGAAATCAGTGTTTTTCTGACACTCTTGTCACAGAAGGGCTATCGCAAAAATGTGAATGGCCCTATCTGCAGCCAGTGTTTGGTTTGTCCATTCTGGGCTACTGTAGAAACATGGTGATGCCGATGCAACATGGAGATCTCTGAAGATGAGGACCCACTCCCTATGTAGGTATAAACAGCTCATTCTACGCAAAACAACAATTTTATTTTCAAGTGATTATACACTAAAGAAAACACCTATTACATGATGTTCATTTTCTGCCAGTATAACCCCCTAAATCCTACACACTGGACCTTTAACCTCTTGAAACACAGTGTGAGTAGTCTGAAAACTGAGGTGAGAAAAAGTCACTGAGATAAGTCGAGGCTGTGAGGCACTGATGCTTGAAAACCCTGTTTTTATACTGACTCTCTGGAGAGTTACTGTATATCAAAGACTGACACTCATGCCTGAAGTGATGATGCTGTTGTTTTATACCATGGCCTTTAGATGGCGCCCTTGTATCACTCTATTGTTTCCTAATAAGTCAAATGACTTTTTAACAGTTATTTGTTATTAGCAAAGAGGTGCCAGAGATTTATCAGCTGATTTTTTTTTTTTTTTTAAATCTTGAGAAGAATATTTAAAACTATTTTTGTGTGATTCTCTGTCATGGATTTTTCTTTTTTGTTTGTTGACCAAAATATGACGCTCTGTCGACAGGGGTCAGAATGAAACTTCATCAGTGACAGTATCATAAAAGACTTTTGTGTAGTGGCGTGTTCAAACATTTGTTTCATGTCAGGACTTTGTGACCATCAACAGATCTATAGCTGAGCTTTTTTTTTTTTTTTTATCAAACGGTGATGTTTATTGTGTTTACACAGAACTTTAACTTGCCTGCTTTACCCAAAAACCACTGGCGTGAGTTGAATGATCACAGAATTATGAGCATTTTTACTTTAATTTATTTTAGAAGTTGACATATTAAAATATCTGTGGAAACAAACTCCTCTCTTTCATTGCCCAAATTAATGTGTGGAGGCTGGGACGGCAGGTTGTAAAGGTTAGGTCTACATTATAGTCAAGTGTCTTTTAAGGCAGTGGTTCCCAACTGGTGGGTAGCGGTCCAAAAGTGAGTCGCAAGCCCAACACATTCTCACTCCGACCTCGTCACATACTGACATGCTTGGTCTTGGACTTTCTATGTCCACGTACGACATGCAAGGTACCCTGGCTGCGTTGGTTGAACACGTTCTGCCTGTTACATGCATTGTCTTCTTTCAAGATACACTTCCATTTACATTGGGGTGAAAGTCGATGTTTGTTGGACCCATGCACCACCACTCCTACCCACCCCACTCAGACATTCACCACCTTAATTTTCGTCCTTGTCCTGCTGCGTTTCCTGCAATGCCGCCGGGTGCCATTAAACTATCACAGTGTCTGATGCCGAAAGTCACTGCCCAAGTGCCAGATTTCGACAACTTCGGAGTGAGACCAGACTCGCAAGCCCATTCTGAATGAACCACATGTGCCTCGCAAACCTGTCAGGTTTGTAAAAAAACAAAAATCCACTTTATTTTTAAGTACAGTAAATCTCCAGCACAGAGCTTTTATTTTGAAGTGGCGTTTTCTGCTGTAGAGTGAGTGACCAAGCGTTAGCTACTTTACAGAGACAGCAAACTAGCTCAAACGCAAGTGTGACACTGAATGTATTAAACTGTGGGACCTTGAACTAATGTGAAGTCTGGACCCTTTGGCTGGACCAATTGGGACCAGGAGTTCACAACCTTTTCTAGTTCAATGGCCACCTATTTAGACTTGTAACTGTCTCTTGGCACATCTCCACAGCAGCTGGCAGCACCAATTTCTCCACTTTTGTAAAGCCGTCCTTGGTTTCTGGCTTTTAATGCATCTTTAGATTGTGCAGCCAAAGAAACAATAGGCCTTGTCTGTATTTGTAGTCCATTTTCTTTTCTTTTAGAGTAGTCAGCCAGCTTTCCTGCAAGAGTTGGATGTCGTGTCTCAGGTCTCAAGATGAAGTGTGAAAGGCTTTAGCGCCTCATTAGAGAGTGTCAAGTCACACTCCTCACATTTGGCTTTGGGCTCTGAGTCATCATCTCCATTGACAAAACCATGTTCAATGCAATCTAGGCTGTATCTACAAACACACTTTTAATATTTTTGTGTGAAATAGGAGCACTACTGTCATTTTTTCACCTCAGGAACTTTTCCATTATACACCACACCACAGCCTGCGGGTTAGTGTGAAAACTGAGCGGCCCACTAGCTTCGACTTGAAGACATTTAGAGGTTGCTCACGGCCCACACATGGGCACAGACCCATTGGTTGAGAAAGTCTGCTTTACTCCCTGTCCAACTCCGAAAGTGTGAGACACTTATTACAAAACAAAATGTATGAAAGCAAAGGTCTTGGTCAGCAGTTTTTATCAGTGCTCCTAGAAACGTTGGACTGTGACATCCTCACAGGACTCCATTTAAATTCTATGTTGACTGTGTGACAGAAAATAGTGTCTGTTTTTTTGTTTTTTTCTTTGTTTTCTTTTTGTAAAATGCAGCAGTTGGCACTTGCATCATAAAGTCATGGGTTCATATAGTCTTTTATATTGGTTAACTTTATGACAGTCATTATTTTGTGACTCCAGGATAGATCTGGAGGAACAAGGGAGACAGCTAAAGAAGCAACAGCCTCAAAAGTGTTAGCTTGTTTTGTTTTTTTAAGACCATGGTCAAAGTTCACATGTCGCTTATTTTTGCTGTGAGGCAACAGCTGTAACCACAGAGCCACAGTGATGCTCCGTGATGCACATTATGATGTCCAAAAACAACCGAAGGATATTAGAATTCAAGAAAATGTAAATTTACAGCATATTTACGGGCTAGTATTCATGTTGAGCTGTGCGCAGAAGGCAACACATATTGTGTTTACAGACATGTTGTAGATTATGTAGGAGGGGCTGCTAATAAAGGCAGTGTGCATGTACAGTAAGTTCATATTATTTGTTCACGACCACACTTCGACCAAAGCACAGTGTAAATGACCTGTGAGCCTTTGGGACATGATGTGCCATCCGGACACAAACAACCTGCGATGCTCTGTGGGTTGCAGGGAAGTCTGTCACTTAGAGAGCTGAAGTATGGCACGCATTTAAAAAACCATGTGGAACCACACCAAGCCATCAACCGCACACAGGAAACAGACAGGAACTTTCTGTTTGATTGTTGTGATGTAAAACAGCAGCCAGGTGAAAGAGCTGGTGTCATATTCGAGCAAGGCAGGCACTTTTTTTTTGTCCTGCCTCCACCATCAGTCACTCAACCACAACTCTCCTGTCATTTCAATAGATCTGTCTATAGATACAAAATGATCATGATTTCAAATATATGATATTAACAAATCAAAGAATTTCATATTGATAATGTTGCCAATTCCAATAGAGGGCGCTGTATACCAACACCTTCTCCGTTAAATTAAAACTCATTCAGTGCACTCAGACTTGTTTTTGTACACTTTTCCAAGTTGAAAATCTACTTTGTTAAGAGGGTTAAGACAATGAAAGCCATGATGATACTCTGTATAATATAATAAGGTAACATGGGCCCCTGACACCGATTATGGTATGAAAAACTGACTTTAAAGCAAATGTGAAATGAGAGAAAACACATCAGCAGGCTTTAATCTCCTCACTGAAGTATCCTGGAGTGGTGGCTTCAGGAGAATCTAAGTGTAACTGTTCATAGTTTCCTGCAGTGAATTTGTGCAGTTCTCTAAAGCTAGAAAAGACCGTGCAGTAACTAAGTCACTGTAGGATTCATATACTCCAAAGTACATGCTCATATTCACAGCACACTGGGAGGGTGGATGGATAACTGAACAGGCAAGCAGAGGGCTCCTGGACCAGAATCTCTGTGTGAAGTGGCAGTTCATTGTTCTTGTAAGAAAGTCAAATGACCATAAAGACACACGGAATGAGTTAATAATTGCAAAATGTTGCACAGCAACAACAAAGACAACAAAAAACAACTAAGAAGAAATGCAAAATTACTACAAAGAGACGCGCTGCTTTGTTTGTTGTCTCTTTCTGTCTTGGTGTCTTGCTCCTGGAAGGGTTGTGGGGCCTTTTACATGCCAGGCCTGTTGTGGTATCCAGCCGTGACTGGGAAACATGAGGAAGTGTTTTACGCTACAACATACAGTGGCTCTAAATTATTGTAGATATCATTAAAGTTCCCCTCCAGACAAGTTTTAAAGTATGTAATAATAGAATGCTATGGTTAATATTTTGTTTAACACGGTTTTCCCACTTAAAAAAACAACAACCAAACCAAAAAAACAAAACAAAAATCTCTGAAGACCCCAGGAAGCACATCTTCTTTTTTACCCCACTGAGCCATTTCACACAGAGATTGCGCTATAGGGCCGCTAAAAAGACCCCTCGTTATACCTCCTTTGCATTTTTACACAGCACTGAATGACAGTGGCATCATTCCGCTCCGGTGTGATTATACACTGTATCGCAGCTTTGCAGAATCAAAAGAGACATGACGGGCACGACATGTAACACAACAGCACTGGGCTCCAGTGTGACATATAAACGTCGACAGTGCTGTCTGAACAACAACCATGGCATTAACATGTCAATAAAAATCATTTATCGTCCCTGTTATATAACAGCTGATATTGTCCTGGTGGACATTTTCGGCCACTCTTCTTCTTTGAGTTAGCTGCTAACTGCTAGCAGCTACTTTTTAAACCTCTTGCGATGGGTCACACGCATAACATGTTGTCAAAATGTCACACCTGTGCCTCCCATGATCCCGTCCTGCCGGCTGTCCTGTTTATACAGACACCCTTTCGGCGCTGTTACCGCCTCCCATGGCAGCTTAAAGGCCTCTCTGTCTGTCTGTCTCCCTATTCTGCAATCATGCCTTATATAGAGCAAGACGGGACGGCACAATATTCCGACCCTTAACAGGCAGTGCAAAAGGGGCTACTTAGAACTTCTGGATCTGGCCTTCACCCTGACCATCACCACTGCTGCTTTCAAAGGTTTAGCTTTTGCTTTCTTCTTGCCCCAGTGTTGGCACTGCCCTAAAAAAGTGTGGCTATATATAGGTCTGGCTATGTGAGACTAGTGCTGGATCAGCCATATTACTGCGCCCCTAGCACTAGTCTAGGGATGCCGTAGTCTCACTCACCAGACCTTTCTCAAGAAAAGAAAGGTCTGGCTGCGCTGACTCTCACTTTAAGATTGGAGAAAAAAACACCCGGCTTTTTTTATTTCTTTCAACCAATCACAATCGTTCTTGGCAGTGCCAGCAATGGTGTGCTTGCAAAAATATTGCCTACAGGACGCGAACCATGGCAGAAAAATGGCTACATCCCTGCGAGATCAAACACTGCAAAAGTTAGTAAAGGATGTGTTGAAAACTGCTACACAACCGGAGGTGGTAGGGCGGGACTTCAGCGGGTGGCTAGTTCCGCCTAATGAGAGGCTGATCTATGCAGCAAACTTCTGCCCACTCAGACTAGGGATGCCGTAATATGGCTGCCATTCTATGGAGCAGTTCGGGAGTTTGGTGCCTGGTTCAAGGGCACCTAAGCAGTGGCCCCAGGGACATCTCTCCAGCTGCCAGTCCATACAACCCTCTGGTTCCCCAGCCAAGTCCCCACTGACTGAGCTATGCCTCCCTATATTTTCATTATGCTAATGCAGAATTTGTCCTTTGCACTGACAAGCCTGCTGTGCGCTGGAGGTTTCAGGTTTCTTTGCCAGAGTTGTGTCAAAGTCTGTTCCTCCGTCCCCCCATCCATGTGTGTTTCCAGTATTAGTTGGCTTTCATATTAGTGATGTACCTAATCTAGTCTGCCTGGTGTTCGTTTGAGTCACAGATTTTGGGAAAGTCCACAGACATCGTCCCCCTCAGTAGACAGATGTGAAAACAGCTCTCTAGTCTACATGAGAAAAGCACATTTCTGAGTGGAGACGATCTTTAAATATAATTCAGACTTCATGTAGTTGGTACAAGTTCAACAAAATGGAAATGACAAAAATCTGAACAGCATTTCTCTTTAATTTCGCTTGTATATCAGGACGCCACAGGTCACAGAGTTTTATTAATATGATCCCATATGAGATTATGTACATTCAAGATGACAGTGACAGGTGAGCACCTCAGTTTTATCTTTGTTCCCTTTTTCCTCTCTCTGCCTGATTAGGACGCGAGCTCTGTGTGAGTTTGCAAATGTGTTTCGTCCAGATAACACTCTAACAATGGCAGGGGTTAAAATAGCCCACCAAGGGGAAAACACAACTATTTGCTAATCTGCAGGGAGCACACAGACACATACACAACGCGTATGGATTCAGATCCCATAGTGGAGCTGGAATCTGCAGTCAGTCAGTGATTTCATGGATGCAGTCATTTGAGGACGCAGAGTGTAAAATTGCATGAAGGGATCTGAGATCAGATGTCTCACCGGGAATAAAGTGGAATTGGTCCCCTGTGAAAATATTGAGCTTTACAAAAATATCCATCCATGAATTTTCATTGGAAAAAGTAAGAAATTCATACATATACAATATGAAGTAGAGTCTTTGTGGTGCTTAAAACCATATTCTCACACATCTTATCAGCCATCACCATCTGTAGACGTGTGTGTATTCACTGTTTACACTCACACCAGTATGATTATACAAGATCAAAACCAGGTTAGCCTAAAGCATGGTGGTATCTGGAGGAAATCTGGAGGGATGTTCAGGAGAAAACGTGAAAAATGGAGACAGTGAGACCTTGAATGACTTCTGAACAGGAGTGAGACGAACAGTGCTGACTGAGCACGAGTCGAGGCACTCCGACTCCAAAAAGGTAAAGTGAGGTCATCTGACACCGCAGGTCATTACTGCTCGCTCTCCTTCAGATGATCCAGGTTGTTTGGCTGATGTGCGCCCTTGTTTAATGTAGTCGCCTGGAAACTGGCAGTCACACCCTGAGAGGAAGAAAAATTAAATGTTTTTCAATACTTGTGTGGTTTAAATGTGCATTGAAAGAACATGTTATATTTCCAGTGTTACAAAAAGATTTAAGTTCTTTAAACAGATACAGTTCATAGAAATCACACACAACACCTCACAATTTGTTTCCTTACTGCTGTAAACACTGATTACAAATTTATCATTCTGTCTTTTTGGGTGGCCTTAATGTAAATAAAATGCTCTATATTACTTTGTAAATTAAATTAAAATAATTTTAAAAGACAACGGCCAAAGAGAGAGATGTTCATCATTTCTGAACTACCAGATGGCAAAATAATGAGATAAAAAGGATTCATGGAGTTAATCACATCACCCTGATATAAAACATTAAAGGAATAATTCACCCCCCAAATGATTATTCGTTTTGTATTGTATTGTATTGTATTTATTATTTCAATTGCTCGCCCCGTCTTAGGTTGAATTTGTAAAGAAAACGCTATTCTTACTTTTATTAAACATGGTGCCCTTTTACTTCAGTTCATCAAGAATTTTCTTAACTTTTGGATTCTTCATTCACTGAAGGCATGTGAGAAAAACAAAGTTTTCGTCATGAACTCAACATAACATAGGGTCAGTGACTGATATACTAATGATATCTGGGGTTAAGTATTCCTTTAACAATCTTGACTATATTATACTGTAAAAGTAAAGTCACAGTAATTGATTTTTTGTTTCATTCTCCACAAACTCCTGAAGGAAATATCTCACTCTTTAGCTGCTAAATGTTTCATTATGTTCACCAGCTAGTCGTAAACTTTGGCTCATTTGGTGCTGAGCAGGAAATGTACAGTGGGTAAAACCTGTTGTTACTTGAAACCAAGCTGATCAAAGCAGCTAAAGTGAACTAAGACAGTTAAGTTGGGGGGTGTAAAACCAAAACAACAAGCTGAAAGACACCAAAAAACTCCATAGAGCTGAGGAAATCTGTGTGAGGTGATAATTCTTTGTGGGTCTGTGCGGTATATCACTGTAAACTGCAATCCATACATGACACAAACTTTTAATGTAAAGTTTACACAAATGCCAGGATTGTCAAAATGACATAAAAACTTTATGTTCACTTGACAACTTGACATGATTTTTTATGTTAAGTTAACAATTTTTGAGTTTTGAGTTAATCTGACTAAAGAGTTACCCAGCCAGCTGTGTGTCAATGTGTTTAAGGCCATAAGCCGAAGGCAACAGTGTTTAAATGTGATCTAAAGTATTCAGGTTACCCATTACACAGTGATTAATGTTTATGTATTTCACAATGGTTCTAATGGGTTACTGATAATGTGGTAAAAGACACTTTGCACTATAAGTTAAATCATATACACAGTTAGTGACGTCCCACCTGTGTGGATAATAGAAAGTTTAACACAAAGTTGAGCTGATGTGAAATAGAGAGCACTTCCTGGTTCAGAGTTAATCTCATTGTCTTAGTCTAGCAACTGAGAAAATTAAGCTTGCCACAATTTATATTAAAGCTTCAATGAAATACAAGAAATGGTTGTAAAATGTATACTCAGTGTTTTGTATTTTATGACATAGAGTTAAATGCTCAAGCTGCAACAACAAAGTTATGTTAAACTGACAAAGTTCCTGTCAGACAAGGGTCATGTGACACATTTATTTTGTGTCTAGTGAAGTCAAAAAGTATATGTTATTCTATTGTACTAAACTAAAAGTTTGGAGTGCAAGATGTTTGCAAAAAAATAAAAAATAAAGTTGAATGAGGGAATTGGGGTTTACATAGTGCAGCTTTGAAAGGATGTTTATTTTTGTGCTCCTCAAGTTTTGACATGAACCACACAAAAAACTACAACCAAAGTTTATGCTTCAACCTAATCGGCACAGGATTTTATATAAATAACTTTATGAAGCTGTCACATAAAAAATTGAATGCACAGGAAAGTCAGATAAGCGCCATAAAAAAGAGAAACCTGTCTGTGCTCATGCACATTAAGCAGGGTGGAAACACTGCTGATCTAAAAGCACAAAAAAGTACCACAAGAGGTCGAGAGCGTCTTTGTGGAATCAGGCCAGATAAACACTTTTAATATGTGATCAAACCATTTCCTCTTCTTGGTGGAAGTCTGAGCGAATAAGATAAAACAGCAGGTCAGTGGGGTTTCCCTAAACTGGATGACTGAACGACACCGGCCACAGATTAGGTCGACCTGGTTTGTAAATCCACGCAGAAACAACAACAGGATATTTGACAAAGGCAACCAGAGAGTCATTTCCTCTCATCATCAGTGATCAGGACAACAAACTGCCTCAGGCTGCCGACGGAGAGAACAGCTCCATCTGAACCACCCAGCTTTAAAACCAATGTTAATGTTATTTGTACTTTCACAATAAACACCTAAAGGGGTAGTTTTAAAGTGTGTAACCTAAGCTGATGAATCTCACAGCTGCAGCACTGAATCAGTTGTATCGACAGAGGTGTTCAAGTACCAGCTTATTTTTACTGAACACAAGTTAACACATAAATAAAGAATCCTTTTAACAGAGTGAGTTTAAAAAGGAACTTATTGTGATACACGGCTGAAAACAGCATTTCACTTTCCTGTCTGGTGGAAAGCTTTTTAATGTGTCGGTAGAAGTGATCTGTGTTGCACTTGTAACCACACTAAACAGTGATGTCACAGTGTACTGAACACAACTTGTACACTTGAACATCTGATCACTGATTATGACGGGAATCTCTGCTCACTGTTTTGTTTAAGTAATTTACTTATTATTTTCACAAAAAAACAAAGTCCTCAGAGTTATCTGTCTGTATCAAGCAATACATATCCTCTATATCCTCTAAAGTAAGCTTTGGCATGTTGCATTTGTGAACTTAGACGTTGATGATGTGTTGATGTTGAATGTTTGTGATAAACCAAAGGATGAAGTGTTCTTTCATGTGTTGAGAAAATTCTCCTACTTCCTGAGCTAAATAAACTCTTTAAAACCCTCTTGGATCAGCTGAAAAATGTGTTGTCACAAAACTAAAAACACGGTTGTTTTTCTGACATTGTGAAAAATTGACTTTTTAGGGATGCGTGGTTCTCACAGGAGAGCAACGCTACAAGCACATGATGATCTTATAGAGAATATGAAGCATTGCTGTACATTAAACTATCCAACAGTGTATAAAGAAGTTAAAATGAGCTCAACCTTAAACATATACAGCAGTAAAATGCAGCAGTGATATTAATCCAGGAACATCAGAGCGAACAGGAAAACACTGACAGCATGGAACATATACATACTTTGACTTTAGGTATTTTAAGTATATTCAGCATTAAAAAGTCTGAAGTCAACAAAAAAGATCCTCAGCTGCTGTTAAATCTTCTTTCAAGTCTGTTTTATGTTCACCCACATGAAACATATTTTCTAACTGTAGTCTGGAAATGTGTTTGCCGTGCTCACAGCACTGAAAAGGTCAGTTTAAAAAATCATCACCAAGCTTTCTGGCTGGAGACAATGTACTTCAAGGTTCAGTCTGCAATCTTAAATCCAATAATATGTTTGTCCAACTCAGTGAGTATCTTCTCATGGTCCACTATCTGTCCTTTCTGTGTGCCCTGAAAAAAATCTGGTGTTCATACACAGCCCCGGCACTGTAAAGGGGAAACAAACAAAGTAGCTCAGACTGAGCAGGCTGCTCTCCCTCTTCACCGTCCTCGCCCACAAGGAACGAAGCTGCACCATGACTGTAATGAAAAGTAAATAACACTGGAGACATTTCTGGAGCTTCTGAAGGAGCACTGATGGTGAGGGTGTATTTGTTTGGGTGTTGAGTTCAAATCTTTCTCCAGAGTCACTGACTTTCGTGTAAACATTTCCACTGAGTCTTGCTAAGTGGAAGAAACAGTCAGAAACCTGTTTGTGTGTGTTGTGTGGATTATAAACAGGAACAGGGAGGATGTTTCTGTTGAAAAATGACTTTGCTGGTGATATCTTTTCATTAATGTGAGCACCAAAAACAAAACACCATTAACCTGCACTGTATTCGGGTGGCAGTACTCAGACATTGATATTGTCAAACATGAGGAAATAAAACCAAAAACTATGCTCATGGCTAGATACCAGATACTTTCATGATTGTGTGAAGTGAGACTGACATACCTGCATGCTGTGTTGGCTGCAGGGTGGCAGGCCATTGGATGAACTGAGCTGCTGGTGGGAGGGAAGCGAAGGGAGAGCTGCTTGAGTCGTCACAGCACAGGGATTAGAAAGCTTGAGAGAGAAGAAGGAAATCAAACACAGAGGATGTCAGAGAAGGAGAAATTTATTAATGTACACAAATGTGCTAAAGGAGCGCTGCAGCACACTTACCACTTTCATGGCCGGGCTGTGGTATGGTGGGTGTAGAGAGGGCAGGGAAGTGTTGTAAGTCAGCAGGCAGGGCTGCTGGCGTCGGTCCATGGATGCAGAGGAGTGAGGTCGCAGGCCAGATGCTGTTGGAGACTTCATGTTCCTGCCCAGGCTGTTTGAGTTGCTTTCCCTGCGCTGGTACTCTATTGGAGACTGAAGGGCTGCGGTGGACAGGAAGTGATGTGAAACCATTTCATTTGTTTGACTCACAACCATATCACATGGTATGGAGCACAAACATTACATACAATAACAAAACAACACACAACATAACACAGGGTGAGTAACCAATATACAAATGGTTATTTAGTGAGGACGTATCCCTTTAAATGTGTGTTTTTTATTGAGTTAACACTGAGCTCTGGTACCATTAAGGAAGTTCCTCTGAGTCTCTAAGATCTGCCCCACGTCGTCGAGCCAAGCTTGCTGTATTTCCGGAGATGATGCCTGCATGATGAAGCGCGTCACACTGCCGTTTGTTCCTCGAGAGGTCAGGACCAGAAAGCATGGATCATTCTCAGAGTGCTCCTCCACGCCCAAACAGCTGACCTGCAGCACACGGGAGACTTGTTAAACATTAAAAAAAAACACACTTAACCAAAGATGTTTTAAAGAAAACACTTTCACTTCACCTTGATGCTGTTTTTAAAAATATACCCTGGCAAGGAGAAACCCTTTTTCTTATCGATTGGCTCACTGAACATGACCAGCTGCTCAAACAGGAAGACCCTCCTCTCCCTTGCTCTGGACGGGATGCCGCTTTCCTCCTCGCTGACAGAGAAGGTATCCTGCTGGAGCAGCTTCCCCTGAGCTGTGATTTTCCCCTGAAACAGTGCGTGTGTCACAAACATTGTCGTAAGTCACCCTGGATGTGCGTTTCATCAGCCATGATGCACAGGAAATAATCCATCTCTCACCTCAAAACCTTGGAGCCGGCCCACATTCATCATATCGTTACAGCGTTTTGGCACGAAACACATCACCTCCACCGCCCTCTGATGGAAGAAATGAGATGGAGGAGAATCAGCGAGGGAAAACACAATTTTGTGATATACAGACTCAGGAGATAACATCCCAGTTTACAGTTGCCAGTTTATTAGGTACAGCAGCTAAAAGTAATGGAGTCTAGTACAACAGCCCTGCAATAAATCTTACTTTTATGAAGGCTGTTGTGTTTTCTCCCAGCAAATTCAGGAAGACAGTACCGGATACACCTGGCCAGCACTGACAGGATTACATTTCACTGGAACTGTGCCTGATATGATTTTATGTGACAAATAAGTTGACTGATTGACTGATTTTAATTGGAAGAGAGGTGTACAGTTCAACAGCACCACAAACTGCAGCCTCTAAAATGATCACACAGTTAAAACAACACCTCAATTTGGCATTCATGAAATGGTGCAGCGACTCTATGTTTCAGGGTGAAGTAGATATTAGATGAAGGAGTGCTGACATATTGTAAACAAACCAGTAGTCTGCTATTGTTGTTGTTGTTGTTTCTGGTGCACTCATTACACAAAGTAACAATGGTCATGCACAAATTGAGGACATGATGGCATTGTTTCCCAAATGCTCCAGTTCACACGTCCACATAGTTAAAAAGAAACCAGAGTTTGGAAAAATCTTCTTAAAAGGCATTTTAAAAAAATCTGACATAAAACTTTGTTTGGATGTGGACGTCGGGCCAAAACGTAAAGGAAAATATCTGTTTTCAAAAACATCTATATACATGTAGACAGGGCCTGAAACAGTCAACAAAAACTGACCTTTATAACCTTCATGAATAACTTATATTGTATTAGACCTCATTGGTTTTAGCTAGGCGTGCCTAACAAACTGGCAACTGACTGTATATGTATTCACATTCTGTAATGAGCTCGTACCTGCAGCTCCTCAGCATCCCTCCCTGCTTTGCTGTAGTACTTCAGGAAGTCCTGGGGTCAGATAGAGGTGTGTTTAGAGACAAAGTAGTTCACTTTTATAAAAAAATAACTTTGTGTCATAATTGCAGAAACTGTCACTATATCCTGACAGTATTACATGAGACGGATAATCTGTGGAAATATCATGCTCTTCTGCCTTCTCCTAGTGCTCCTAATGGCATTTGAAAAAAATCCAGCACAAACACAGTGGCGATCTCTGCTCATGCACACACTGTGCTGCCCTCCTCCCCTGCTCACGCTCTCACTCTGTCAAGCTCAGTATCTCCAGCGCGTCAGTTTTGATTCTTTTCAGGTTCTGCAACGCCGCTCCGATGTTCACTCTTGTTTTATGGAATAAAAGATAAAGTCTGCACACCAGAAACTGCTCCTTAAACAATTTATTCATGTGTTACGTTTCGGGCCCCTGCCCTTCATCAGACATGTCTGATGAAGGGCAGGGGCAGTTTCTGGTGTGCGGACTTTATCTTTTATTCCATACTTACCTTTTGGTCCAGCACCCAGCATTAAGTTTTTTGGGATGTGCTTGCTACTTTTACCTGTTATTGGACCACTCTTGTTTTATCTCAGGCTCGGTTTAACCCTTTCTCTTTAGCTTGCTACCACTGCTAGCTCACCTGGCACCACTGAGCTAGTTCAGCCAAGGAGAACAGCATTGAGGTTTACATCTCGTGCCAAGTTCACACTGAACGCGGAAGCGATGCTGTAGTCCTTTCTGGGCCCATGTTAAACAATGGGGCTTTTCATACAGGACACTCCACAGCCTGAGCTCCGCAGCCATCTTGTAATCTGTGGCGAAATTTTTGGTGTCTGGTCTGTTTTTTGCACGAGCCGCGAGCACATCTGGCACGAAAACACGCTGATGATCCATTATGAACAATATAAAGGCTATTATAGATTCGTTATATAAGTTATCTGATTATGATAAATGATCAAATATGCACCCCATGCTTCCAAATATATGTCAGTTGTGTCTAAACAGAGAGCGAGAGACAAGTGGACACAGACACACAAGCACACAGAGACAGAGCTCTCTAAGTGTGATGACAAAATGTGGAGCAGAATCACTTGCTGATAAGCACAGAGAAATGCACTTCTGGTGTGAACAGCCAGGCAACCGCTGGAAGGCAGCTGCGCAACAACTGACATATTGGCATATTGGGGCACCTTTGTGTTAAGTGTGAACATGGCATCACAATGAATACCTCCAACACTCTGCAACTTGCTTTAAAACAATCTAGATGGATAAGTAGCACTACAGGTAAGAGGAAAAATATATTGTATTGATTTTGGCATGAACTGTCCCTTTAATGTTGTGTAACAGTGCCACACATGCAGCTACACAGTCGTGTTGAATTGCAAACCTTCAGCAGCAGCTGATACTTCATGATCCTCTGAACAGGTTTGATGAGCAGGTCGTTGAGCTGCAGCCTGTGACCCAGCTGCTGCCTGAGATCCTGTCAGGCGAAGGAAACACAGAGAACATGTTCAACGATAAAAGAAAAAAGTCTTTATAGAGCTTTAATAAAATCAACTGTTGTATAAAGGTTCACTCACCTCAAAGTAAGTCTCAATGTACTCAGAGACAATGTGCTCTGATTTGGGTTTGTTCTGACAGTAAACCACGTACATGTGAAGACGCCGCTCCTGGAAAAAGAATTTAAGAGAGAGAGAGCTCATGTGACAGTTATTTCAAATAATAATCTGTGTGTGAGAGGCAGTGTGAAGAAGTATTAAGCCTCTGAGCAGCTCTGACTCTTGGTTTCCTCTCAGCGTTGTTGTGTTCCCATTTCCCTCAAGAGTTTTTTGTTGGGGCGGGGGGAGTTTTGTTAAACCAGTGCAGGACCTTTGGCTCATTAAATATTTCCAGTGGATGAGAAAGAATGGTTTAATTTGCTGTAGCTTAATTAGTCGTGCTACACTACTGTGAGTGAAGCAGATAGAGAAGCTGAGCTGGAAAAGCTGCACCAAATCCAAAATATATTTCCCTTTTTTTCTGCTGTAACAATGCCAATTAAAAGTATTCACCACCCTTAGAGAGTCTTTTTATGTTTTACGACACTGAATCTGCGTGATATGTCTTTTGATTCAGCCGCTATTCTGTGTTTATGTTAGTACGTCCTTTGGAAATTGAATTTATAGAGATCTGTTTTCACTATGAAATTAAATAGTCTATTCAGTGTTAAACAACTGCATATGAGGTAGGCGTGAATACTTTTTATAGAGCTCTGCAATCTGTAATTTCAGCTCATTTTCACACTACACGCCGTCTCTGTGGATCGCCTTCAACACTGATCGTCAGCTTTGAAAGCCGATGATTACAAGACCGTTTATTCTGCAGCTGCACCTGCAGACAAACTGATCCTTGAGATGAAGACACATCTGGATGGTGACAGGCCAAGGCTTCACACACACAGTCAGCGCTCTGATCTGTGAGACGGCTGCGACCTTCAGCTAAACTGAAAACACACAGAGACGGAAAGAAAAAAGAACTTGTCATCCCGGTTTGTAACTCGCCGATCTGTGGACTCACATGTTTGATGAAGAGCTGGGCCAGGCTGTCTGGATCACCCACACATTTCTCCAGCTCTCCCAGGAAATAACTGTGTAACACGAAGCAGAAAAGGTCAGGCAGGAACAGTCATCCAACCACACGCACACACACACACACACACACAGGATAGATATAGCCACAGGGGACGTGACACACGCTGAACCACAATGAAACATGCGGAACTCAGAAAATCTGCATTAACTGTAAGAGATGGTTTAAATTCAGAGGAACAGACGGGGGGAACAGAGGAGATGTCTCTGACTCACTCCTTATGCCAGTCATAGATCTGGTGGATGTTTCCAAACACAATCCTGTCCTTCCCTTTCAGGTCCTCTGGGACTCCCTGATTGGCCATGGTGCCCATGTACCCCTACACACACACACACACACACACACACACACACACACACACACACACACACACACACACACACACACACACACAATACCAAACCCCTCTCAGAGTTTACGACGTGAATGTTGATGAAGGAATCTCAGTTATCTAAAAATGTCATAAGCAGATGATTTATAGGCTGGAGGAGAGACACACCTGCACTATGAGTCCAAGATCCTCCACATACAGCCTTTCTGTCTCGATTAGCTCTGTCAGCACATATCTGAGAGAGAGATTTAAGGACATTAGGAAAGCAAATAGAGGCTATTACCAAACTAAAATGTACATACAGTACATGTTAAATGATGTCTGACATTTCAGGGAATTCACTAATTCACTTTCTTGCTGAGAGTTAGATAAGAAGGTTTAAACCACTCTCATGTCTGTGTGGTAAATGTCAAGATACAGCCAGGAAACAGTTAGCTTGTCTTAGCCAGATTACCACTTATAAAACCACAACTTGTTTTTACATTCAGTTTTTCGTCCAGACTAAAACAAACGAGATATAAAGTGTTAATCAGAAAGTTTCAGGATGGGAGTCGGTTTTTATCTCTCAACTAGTCTCACGTAGCCAGACCTGTCTCCACAGCACTGTGTCAGCACTGGAGAACAGCCTGGAAGCACACATTATCATTCTGCTATAGGGGGAAAACCTTGGATTGTTTTTGCCTCTCTAAACCAATAACAATCATTCCAGGTGGAACAAAGCCCGGGATGCAGCAACGGTGCCCTTGCAATATTTAGGAGGGCAGCATACACAGTGACAGGGCTAACTGTTAGCATCACACGGCTAACATTACCTTAGTGGTATTAATGGGTTTGACGACAGAGTCGAGACATTTCAGCGTTGGTGGGAGTTTGTTGGGACCATTTATTGCCTCAGGGTTGTCTTAGCGCTGCTGCTGTGATAGCTCATGTTAACCAGGCAAAACCACTGGGAGGAGAGCAGCTCCGGAGACGGCAGCAACAGAAAGTTTGCTTATCCAGTGGGGGGTTGGGACAGTTTGAAGTTAGACCCCCAGGGCAAAAATGATGGAATTCAGGTTCAGTCAACTGCGACTGGCGGTGTCAGAAAACACTGTTTATTCTTTATTTGCATCTGCAAGACGGAGTTTGGGTTTTTCTTAGTTGCGTTTACAAGTTGTGTTAGGCATTATAGGTCTTTAAAACAATTCAGCCGAGAACAAAGCAGGCATGCCTTATTGCACAATCCAAATCTTTGTCAAGATGTGCCATTTTCAGTGTTTAGGTTGTTAGCCTGGAGGTTAGTGTTTCCCGTAGCAAAGGGGATTCTGGAAACGTTAACACAGTGGAAGGGGGGAGGATGCCGGCCTAAATAGTCGGCCAGTGGCAGGATTATAGCCACAGTCTATATCCAGTGAGCCTTTGGACAGAGCCAGGCTTGCTATTTCCCCCATTTCCAGTCTTTATGCTAAGCTAAGCTAAACGTCTGCAGCCTGTAGCTTAATATTTACTGTGTAGACATGAAAGTGGCATCTTATTTCATTCTCTGCAAAAAAAAAAAAAAAAGCAAATAAACTTATTTCCCAAAATGTCAAACACCTCGTTAAATGTAGAGGCCAACACCTACATGCTCTTCTCTAAGGCAATGTTTCGCTCCTCTTCGCTGTCCATTGTAGCAGACCACTGGCTGGCCGAGTCGTCAGTCACAGTGCAGCTGTCCTCCCCTTGGAGAGTGTTGATGCTGGATTTCTGACTCTGAAACACACAAACAAGACAGTTTTTGGTAAGCATCACTGTCAGATATTATGTAAGAGGAGACAGACAGAGACAACATGTTCTGTGGGGCAGTAAAGCCCAGTGGAAAGTTCATTTTCCCAAGCACTCAGCAATATTTGAGTATTTCGTTGTCTCCACTACGTTTATTTGATAGCTATAACTACTACCCACCCAACATTTGTATGTGGGGCCCATGTGGGTAGTAAACGGACTGAAAAATGGGCCCTATATGTGACTGTTATTGGGTTACATATTGGCCCCATGCCAATAGCCGATATGGGTGGATTTACCTAAGGGGGCCCCAGACGAGATTCCCATTTTGGGGTCCATACCTACTTGGTATCCAGGTACAGTACAGGCCAAAAGTTTGGACACACCTTCTCATTCAATGCGTTTTCTTTATTTTCATGACTATTTACATTGTAGATTCTCACTGAAGGCATCAAAACTATGAATGAACACATGTGGAGTTATGTACTTAACAAAAAAAGGTGAAATAACTGAAAACATGTTTTATATTCTAGTTTCTTCAAAATAGCCACCCTTTGCTCTGATTACTGCTTTGCACACTCTTGGCATTCTCTCCATGAGCTTCAAGAGGTAGTCACCTGAAATGGTTTCCACTTCACAGGTGTGCCTTATCAGGGTTAATTAGTGGAATTTCTTGCTTTATCAATGGGGTTGGGACCATCAGTTGTGTTGTGCAGAAGTCAGGTTAATACACAGCCGACAGCCCTATTGGACAACTGTTAAAATTCATATTATGGCAAGAACCAATCAGCTAACTAAAGAAAAACGAGTGGCCATCATTACTTTAAGAAATGAAGGTCAGTCAGTCCGGAAAATTGCAAAAACTTTAAATGTGTCCCCAAGTGGAGTCGCAAAAACCATCAAGCGCTACAACGAAACTGGCACACATGAGGACCGACCCAGGAAAGGAAGACCAAGAGTCACCTCTGCTTCTGAGGATAAGTTCATCCGAGTCACCAGCCTCAGAAATCGCAAGTTAACAGCAGCTCAGATCAGAGACCAGATGAATGCCACACAGAGTTCTAGCAGCAGACCCATCTCTAGAACAACTGTTAAGAGGAGACTGCGCCAATCAGGCCTTCATGGTCAAATAGCTGCTAGGAAACCACTGCTAAGGAGAGGCAACAAGCAGAAGAGATTTGTTTGGGCCAAGAAACACAAGGAATGGACATTAGACCAGTGGAAATCTGTGCTTTGGTCTGATGAGTCCAAATTTGAGATCTTTGGTTCCAACCGCCGTGTCTTTGTGAGACGCAGAAAAGGTGAACGGATGGATTCCACATGCCTGGTTCCCACTGTGAAGCATGGAGGAGGAGGTGTGATGGTGTGGGGGTGTTTTGCTGGTGACACTGTTGGGGATTTATTCAAAATTGAAGGCACACTGAACCAGCATGGCTACCACAGCATCCTGCAGCGACATGCCATCCCATCCGGTTTGCGTTTAGTTGGACGATCATTTATTTTTCAACAGGACAATGACCCCAAACACACCTCCAGGCTGTGTAAGGGCTATTTGACCAAGAAGGAGAGTGATGGAGTGCTGCGGCAGATGACCTGGCCTCCACAGTCACCGGACCTGAACCCAATCGAGATGGTTTGGGGTGAGCTGGACCGCAGAGTGAAGGCAAAGGGGCCAACAAGTGCTAAACACCTCTGGGAACTCCTTCAAGACTGTTGGAAAACCATTTCAGGTGACTGCCTCTTGAAGCTCATCGAGAGAATGCCAAGAGTGTGCAAAGCAGTAATCAGAGCAAAGGGTGGCTATTTTGAAGAAACTAGAATATAAAACATGTTTTCAGTTATTTCACCTTTTTTGTTAAGTACATAACTCCACATGTGTTCATTCATAGTTTTGATGCCTTCAGTGAGAATCTACGATGTAAATAGTCATGAAAATAAAGAAAACGCATTGAATGAGAAGGTGTGTCCAAACTTTTGGCCTGTACTGTAACAATAGCATAACCACGTGGGGCCCACTTGAATAAAGCCATCGATGTGGGCAGTTAGCACAGGGTCAATATGGAACCCATGGACAATCCAGTATAGGGCTCATTTCTCAACCCATTTACTACCCACATGGGCCCCACATACAAATGCTAGCTGGGTAGTTCCTCCACAGATTAAGATTTTACATTAAAAGCTATGATGAGCTTTTAAAATACAATTAATTGTTAAAGATAAAATCAGTGGCTCCTGAACTTTTACTCGTGACCCCTGATACAAAGCAGTGTCAATCAACATTATTACAGTTAAGTAAAACTTAACCAAAAACTAAAACTAGGTATGAAAAAGCAATTTTAGTTAGAGAAAATGAAAACTAACTGAAACAATATTGTATACTTAAAAAAACTAAAATAAACTAAAAATAAACACGAATTGTCTTTAGTCTTTGACAATTTACCCAAAATTTGTGAACACAACAAGCATGAGGAGGCATTAGTGCACATGTTTATTGAGACTGGGATGTCAACATGACTGTGAGTCCTTAAATTGTTGCATTTGTACTTTTACTCGTGTAAGTAAAGTATCTGAGTACTTCTTCCAAATGCTGTGGTGTAGAGTGATTTCTGACCACTGGGCATCAAGCTCACATATCATTACGCTTCATCTACTGTGACCCCTGAGCCAGCCTGCACACATCTGTAGAAATGATGATGATGATGAAGATGAACCTGGAGAACACATCTGTGGAGCAATTTTATGTTCCCTTTTGTGATCCCTTTTGGAAAGTCATGCCACCCCGTAAAATCCCGTGTAACCTGAGAATAATAATCACTTTTTAATGTCTCTGCTCACTGCTGAGGAGACTGCTGGGCAGAGGAATTTGGAAAAGTCGAATCAGGCCTGACAGATGAAGGTAAATAATGAGCATCATCAGTACAGTTTGTCCACTCAGATAAAGGTCAGGGTAACTGACCGCAGTGTAAAGAGAGCTGTTATGTAACAAATATCGCTCCTCACCTAAAAGCAGTATAATCTAATGTGAGTTTGACTGTAATCCTTTTGACATAGTGTAGTCTAACCACATTTTGTGCTCTGCCTCGGTGCTCTGGATGATAATCTGTCTGCTGAGTCAGTCTGTGGGTCAAATATGCACTCTGTTTATTTTCCTTTTTTTTTTCAAGGTCAGTCATTTTTTCTCTCTGAGTCTGAGTCGACTGTTCACATTTTCACGCAGCTGCCGATGAGAAACATCTGAGGCTGATTCAAACTCCGTCTCCACTCTGGTTCTTATCCACTATCCTGCTGCCACTAAACTGAGATTAGCTTGTTGCTCTAAATGTTTCCTCCTCTCCGACAGTAACTTCTCATCAAGCAGAAATCCATTAGCTCCTCTGACAACTGCAAGGAGGTTAAAGGAATAGTTCAGCACTCAGTGAAACACTCATTCACTTTCATGTTGAGGGTGAGATCAGAAGATCGACACCACTCTCATGTCTGTAGGGTTGATAAGTTGGTGGAGCCAGCATCCTGTTAGCTTAGCTTAGCACAAAGACTGGACATAGAGGGAATCAGCTAGTCTGGCTCTGTCCAAAGGGGAAAAAAATCTGCCTACCAGCACCTCTAAAGCTCACTAACTAACACGTTACATCTCCTTAGTTTAAAACCAACATGTTAAATGACAGTTTGCACTCTACAGGTGGTTATGTGTTGGGCTTTGTGCTGGAGAGTCCAGGAAGTTAGACAGAGCCTGTCACATTATGTCTTGTTAAAGAGAGAAGTGTCATTTTTACACTTTGGTTTTTGTATAGATTAAACAAACAAAGATGTAACATTAATTAGTAATTAATTAGTTAATTAATTAGTGAGCATTAGAGGCACTGGTAGGTGGATTTTGTTACCGTCAGCCAGGCCAGCTTTTTTATTTTCCTCAGCTAAGCTAACTGGCCACTAAAAGTGTACATTTATCTTTACCATACAGAGTGTCATCAATCTCCTCACCTAACTCTCAGTAAGAAAGTGAATGAGCATATTTCCCAGAATGTCCAAGTATTCATTCAGAAAGATGATAGGCAGTAGCTCAGCCCATAGGGACTTGGGTTGGGAACTGGAGGGTCGCCTGTTCGAGTCCCCGTCCGGACCAAAATATGGAGCGTGGACTGGTGGCTGGAGAGGTGCCAGTTCACCTCCTGGGCACTGCCGAGGTGCCCTTGAGCAAGGCACCGCACCCTCCAACCGCTCAGGGCACCTGACCAAGGCAGCCCCCTCACTCTGACATCTCTCCACTTTGTGCATGTATAGCTCCTGTTTGTGCATGTGTGTGTCTTTCGGACCTGTGTGTTAATGACAACGGAGTGAAAAAATTGAATTTCCCCCTCAGGGGGATTAATAAAGTATAGAAAATTAAAAAATTAAATTACATAAAAAAAAATAATAAATTAAATTAATTAAAAAATTAATTAAATTAAAATTAAATTATCAAAGCTTTTTATTTACCCTGATGTGGACAGGACAACATTAAAGAGGACTTACTGTGTTCATTTTCAGGTTCATACTTGTATTTGAGGACATGTTAACATGCTTTAATACTGTCTGTGCTGGAACACCTGTATTCGCCCTCTGTCTGATGTGCTCCATTTTAGCGCCTGTCTCTTCAAGCCCCCCTCCTGAAAAATGTATCTCAGCATCTCTGCACCATCATTGCAGCCATGGGAATGATTATAATGCAGAATAGTGGCACTTTCCCCTTTTAAGAATCACCAATAAAAGCTTCTAAACCAAAATCTTTCCAATTGGGCACGTTCCAGCAGAATACAACACAAAATTGGTGAGGTATTAACATCAGCACCAAAGATTACATGTTTGCCTGATGTTAGCATGTAGCTACATGTAGCAGTGTACTTGCAGCTGGGGAATAACTGCAACGAAGTATAGCTGCACTTACTACTGTGAAAAATCACAAAGTAAAACTTCTGAATACAACTAGACCTGTTCCAGCAGGAATATGATCCAAAATTGGGAGAAATTTACATCGGCAAGAAAGATGACATGTTTGCCTGACGTTAGCATGTAGCTACATGTAGCTTCTCTAAACATTAGAAGCAGAATTCAGAACAGTCTGAAGCCTGAGGTTTAGCTCACAGGGATTACTTTTACACACATTTACCTCATCATCTGTAATGTGGCCACTTTTGATATGAACATCCAACATTGTAATGTTATGTTAGAAAATAAGAAAAAGCATCAGTTCCCTTTAAAAGGTTGACGAGCCAAAATAAACATAAAGCTGCAGGTGTTCATTTAATATTTTCGTCCCAAAGGCCCATTGGACTGAGAGAGGCTGAAAGCGAGGACAGCCATTTAAAAAGCTGAACAATGTCAGACAATGCCACAGGAACTGAACCAGTCGACTGCCAAGAAAGGAAGACCAAAAAGGACACGTTCATGCCGAGCTGGACGTGAGGGTAAACCTGTTCATAATACAGCCAACATTAGTACTTACGTTAACAAATGTCCAGTGGCCCTGCAGCACCCCTAGGCTAATTAATTCTTTACTGCTATAGGCTGCTTGGGTGTCGTGACAGTACGCTCCTCACCCCCAGATACAGACTGCTTTGCTAGTTGATTACTTCCAGATGCCGTCTAGAAAAGCCACCGGGATTGATTCCACTCCACACGGCCGTTCAAAGAGTATTTACTACAGTGTAGGGTTACCAGAATGTAGTCTTATGTGCTAGTGTGTGTGTTCGTGTGTGTGCGCACACACAAAATATGCAGCAAAATGTGAAAATATGAGCTATTCAATTGGCACAATTGGTGGAAGTCAAATGATGTGTGTAAATAAAAAGCCTTTCACATGCTAACAGAACTGAACAGGATGTAGAGAGACGTTTATAATTCATAGTGTGAGTTGTCTCAACATTTAAGTGTAAGTTTCCGTCATTTCTACATTATTAACTGATGAGCATTACATCAGGGTTTGATTATGAGAGAGGCTACACTGACTGAATAGTTGTAAGAGCACTTTTGTCTTTGGTCATGAATTATTTATGCTTCATTTATGTTGTTCTCAATCACTTTTTCTGGTCAACTTCTGTAATTATATTGTCTGATCAGAAAAAAAAATTCTATTTTATATAATGTGTCGTTTCATATCATCACAGTAATAACATGTATCATACGTTCCCCAACTTTTTTTGCACTGCAAACTGTTTTCATAATGTTGTCGACCAAAGTAAAGGTTAAAGCTGATTATGGTATCATTTCCATTTTGGTTTTCTTTAATACTTTCTGTGTGGTCTATTTTCTGAAAAGATTTATTTCTTATTTGGTCATATTTGTTTATTCAGTTTTCCAAATCTTATTTTCTATTATATCTTAATTTCAGACATTGAAGGCCGACTCCATCTGGGTTGTTGTGTGGGTTTTTCAAATGGGAACAGCCACTCTGCTGTTAGCAAGAGCAGTGACATGGTTATAGTGCTGATGCCCTCCTCCTCCTCACACACGCAGTTTTCTGACAGTATTACTGACTGTGACTGCATAATGTATACATGGAAGTGGAAGATGGTGCTATTTTATTATTAATAATCCTTCATTTAACCAGTTCAGGAGGAAACATCCAGATTTAATATAATACCCAAATTATACTGCATATTTCAACTAATATTTTTATATACTACTCTTGTATTTTACACATTTATAGATCAATCATCCGTGTATTACCTACAATAAGTGGCGGTTGGCACGCTCCCAGTTTGGAGAAGGAGACAGGAGTATCGGGGCACAGACGCTAAGCAATCTACAGCTGTGAACACCACAATCGAGGTGGTGGTAGACCAGCAACTCCCCATGGTCTGCAAGGTAAAATTACTGTTTCTGTGAAAGGAGTCTGGTTCTGTGGAAATGGACAGCAGCATAAATATATTTTAGCCACCTAAAAAAAATCAATATCAATTTAAGTTGTACGCTGGATTTACATTGTTTTCCCTGCTTCACTTACTGTTAGACAGTCCTTTCCAATGGGGAACTGACGCTGTTATATTGCTCTCTTCGAAGCCACCAGACTCTTTTGACAGAAACAGTCATCCTACCTCGCAGAACATGGGAAGTTGCTGGTCTACTCACTGCCTTAATCGGTTAGTTTGTTTGTGTTACTGTGTGACTTTTGGAACCAAACTAACGTGGCGTCCATAGCAGTACGTTGCTTAGCTTTTGTGCCAGTCATTCTGTCTGCCTTTCCAAACCTAAAACATAAGATCGATACCTATTCTCAAAGAAGGCTTGGTTTGGTCATGAAGAGGCACATTACAGCGGGCTAGGGGGTTTACATGTAGCAATGTCATCATGCAGGAACCTACGTCAGGTCATGTGGGAAAACTTTTTAAGAGGGGCTTGAGAAAATTTTGACGCTAAAACACACATACTTCAACCAAAATTAGAATTTTCAGATGTAAATACATAAGATATATTACTGAGAAGCTACAGAATGGCATAAAGACCTGAAAATAAATACATAAAATAATGAAGCCACCCTTTTAATTCCTGTCTCCATCCTGATAAAGTTTGGTGCAACAACATGATATAGAAATGAATAGAGACATTACTAGGGACTGTGTGTCTCTGCCTTGCAGGAGGTCAGATAAGTTGCTCTGACAGGGAGCCTGTGCAGGAGGAGAGGCTACTGGATTCAACACACCGTCTTTCCACACCTGAACAACACAAACACAAGAATTATTACAAAATAAAAACATGTTATATGAGGTATTAATGCAGCCTTTATGTCTTAAAGTCTCACCGTGTCTCCAGAGGGGAGGATGGTGTAGCTGTCGTTTGGTTCCAGAGGCCTCAGCTGAGTTTCACTGTGGGAACGGAGCGATGACGACTGCCTCCAGTCTGACCTGCACATCTGCTTCTCAACTTTTCCCACTCCTCCTCTGGTATCAGAGCTCAGCTTGCGGACAGGGTTGGTAAGCCATTTCTTGAGGGCGCTGACAGGGTGCCGTGATCCTCCAGACGAGGAGAATGAGCAGGGGCTGGAGCTGCCTGAGGCCTGGTGGGGCACAGGGCCCACTGATGGGGTGATACTGCCGGTCCTGACCGCCACAGAGTACGACTCCGCTGCAGAAAGAGGGAGAAAGAGGGAAAAGGATTGGGTTAATACACAGCGGCTAATTGTGGGGTACATCCTCTCAGGTCAGATGCTGCAGACAGATTTCTGCACAAAAATGTTGTTCAATTTCCTGTGTTAAGCCCAAACTGTAACTCTAGTAGCTGCAGCTACTGTACAGGTCCTCAATCATTATAAACACATCTGTTCTCACGAGGAAGGACTCGTAAGTTTAAGTGGAGATTATACTTAAATTCAGCATTTGTTAGACATTATCTCAAACAGAACATTTTTTAAACTGAAAATGTGGCAACACCAACCAAGGGTCCATCACTGTCCTCTTTAAGTATTTGCAGCACTTTTAATGAGCCATGTAAGAGACAGTGGTGGAGTACGGAGGCGGTTTAAAGGGAAACTTTAATTTATTTGTTTTTAACGTAGACCCTATTTTTCCACATGTTCCCTGTGTCTATAAGCATCTAATGTAGATAACTATTGTTGAAAGTGATCCAGTATTGAGAAAAGAAATAAAACGATGTATAAATTAATCCAAATAAAATGTTTGTAGTAGTTAAGACCTCACAAATTGCGTTGGAGAGACTGATGTATATTCTAAAAAAGAAGGACAAGAACTTTGTTCATTTGTGGAGCTCTTATGAAGCTCATGGTTTTGAATAATTTGAAGCTTTTTGCAAATTATGCACTGCTGTGATTATATTTTTGTTTTTTTCTTTAATTTATTTATGTACGTTTATTATCATTATCATTTTATTATTCTAATTACTAACTTATTTAATTTAATTCAATTCAAATTTTTTTTTTTTTTTTGCCAGGGTTGGGGATATTATAGTTATTTTCTTTGTCGAAATGTTACTGTTCACATTTAATATTTAAAAACTCAATTTAAAAAAATTGTTTAAAAAAATAAGACATCACAAATTCAAGTTTAAGACTATTTAATGACTTTTATGGCCTTATTGTTATACAGTATATTGTTCTAAAATAAAAAGGATATAAAGAGGAATTATTTTTCTCCGTCCTCAGTCACAACTGTTCCCATCACGTCTGCACTGAACTGGCCTCATTCTACAACTCAACCCTGGAACTGACACGCTTTTACGCCACAGCTGGATTTTGTTTCCAGCTTTAAGTCTCTTGACTATGGAAACTGGTACATAATCCCCTGCCACACTGTTTTAATCACATACCCTAACATTAACATTTCACTCTGTTCTGCTGATCGTAGCAAAGTGGAATCTTTCAGGAGCCTCATTTTGTCGTTTTGGACTGTTCCCAGAAGCCACCATTCCCTGTCAGCACATTTATGTAAGCTGTAATCATAATAACAAGCTTTCAAGAAGCCAGTGGAAATCTGGGTCAGCCATTTGCCAAAACTGCCTGATAGTGCCATTAAACAAGACGCCATATTGACAGTGAAACACTAAATAATGTCTTTCTCTTTCTGCTTCATTTCAGTTCTCGTTTTATTTTCACCGGCCCCCTACATACAAGAAATACAAAAATATTATGTTCACTGTTCAGAACTGGTGATGATCATTTGTGGTAATTTTATGTAAATACATGCACTGTGTATTTATCGTGTTAATATGCTGACTGTCAGACAAAAGTTCAGTCTCCTGCAAAACACTGCAGACATGTAAAGCAGGCTGGATTCAAATAAGACAGTAATTAAACTAATTCATCGCCTGGTGCTTCACTCATGCAGTCAACAACACAAACTCATTTCTATAATGGGATGATTAAGAGGGAAGGGAGCAGGGTCAGGGTGTGTGTGTGCGTGTGTGTGCATGTGTGTGTGTAAGCAAGAGAAACAAAGAGTGTTTGTGTGTTATGTGAGTGTGGTGGTGTTCTCGGCCGAGGTTTGAACCAGTGGACTCTTGAGACAGTTTGCTTATTTTCCAGAATAATCTTATTAAAAGTCCTGCTGACCAACAATAATCAACAGGTTTAGGAAATCAGAAGAAAGAAAAAAATAATCCAGAAAATTATGGAATCTAAAAGAGTGAAATCACACAATTGATGGAGACAAAGAAGAAGACGCATCACAGCTGCAAGACACTGTTCACTGGGAAAGAATCTACAGCCATGTTAGCAGCTCTGAGTGTTTGAACTAGAAGCTAACATTAGCATGCTAACATATCCACACTTAAAATACTAACATCTTAATGATAAGCTGGTATAATGTTAACAGTGTTCACCATCTTAGTTTAGCGTGTTAGCATGCTAATGTATTATTTGGCATTAAATATAAAACACATTTGAGGCTGATGGCACTGTCATTAGGTATTTATTCATAAACCAAAATACTGGACAACCTCCACTGGCCAGCTGCACAAAATTAGTTTTCTCCTTAAGTATGGCACTCCAGGCTTGATTACTCCTAAGCAAAGGGACTAACTTAAGGGTGTTCCACAGAGTCTCTTAAAAGAAATCCTTTGGTAAGAAAAAATGTGAAGGCATTTACTTATAAAACATACATTATTACTCATCAGTCTCCCGGTCGTAAAACACGCTCTCCTCTCAAGATGCGATTTTCTTCACTTATCGCCATAAACTTGGTCATGTTGCAATTAAGATAGAGTCAAAGTTAGGCTAGTTTTATTACTTAGATGGGTTGCTAAAGTATTTTGTACAATGGTTTGACTACCTTTAAGGGCTTCCATAAGTATACCAACATAAGGAGAAAACCTTAAATACCAAAGTGAATATCTTAAGGTTACCTTAAGGAGAAGACTTAAAGGTATTTATTTGCAACCTTAACTCAGACTTTGGGGAAAACTTTAACTTGAGTTGTTTTGTGCAATGGTTTAAGTAACTTTAAGGGATTATTTAAATATAAGACTAACATAAGGAGAAAATCTGAAATACTTCAGTGAACAACATATGAAACCCTTAAGAAGGAAACTTGAGGGTGTTTTGTGCAACCTTAACTCTGATTTTGAGGAAAATCGTAACTTAAAGAGTTTTGTACAATGGTTTAGCGACATTTAAGGAATTTCTTAAGTATGAGACCAACATACAGAGAAAACCTTAAATACTTAAGTGAACATTTCAAGAAACCGTTTTGTGCAACCTTAACTCAGACTTTAAGAATAATCTTAACTTAAGGTGTTTTGTGCAACCAGCATCAGTTATATTAAGACCGGATGTCTTGTAGTAGCAGCCCGGTTCTCTGAATGAAATCTGCATTGCTCCTCCTTATCTGAGGTTCAACAATCAGCCGGAGCCTCCTCTCTAGTGCCGTCATAAGCCTTCCCATGAAGGCTCGGCAGTGTGATAACCAATAATTGAAGCGACCACCACAAACGACCTCCATGTAACACTGAAGAGCTGTGTCAGCCAAGACAGACCAACAACAGCTGCAGCAATTAACTATAAAATGTCAGAATGGCGTTACCAACAAACTACTTTTTGACCATATCCTCAAATGTGTGACCTCAATAAAGACAGACCAGAACAAATAAACCAGAATCAGATACACACACATTGTATGTTATCACTCTGAGCAGAGACGGACATCTGGTCCCATTGTTCTTTATCAAGATCAGGTCAAACAGGGCCGCCATCAGCCACCTTACCATCTGTCAAAATGATACAAAAAGTGAACATTACCGCAGATTTTTCTACGAACACATCAGCATTTTCTAAGAAGTGACCCTTAATGGTGCGTAATGGTCTTTGTGACATCCAAATCACTGATGAACTGAGCCACTCAGCTTGTCATGTTTGTTTGAGACACTTATGTAATGTGTCATTTTCCCACAGAGCAACAGCTGGACCACCATCAGGAGTGTCAGCAGTGTGAGCTGTGAATGCATCCTCGCATGCAGGCTTTATGGACATCCAGATCATATTAAACATTTTATTCTTGTGTAAACATTCTGTCCATGAAAATAGTGAAGGTTAAAGTCGAACTTCAGGTAAAAGAAAAACATTCTCTGTGACCATTTTCAGGTCTCACTGTGAGGCAGTTTTGTGTGCCAAACATCTTTTCTACTGAATACAAATTGATGGATATTATGGATGAGTGGGGTTTGAGTCTCTTGGCAACCCCACTGGCTCAGACAACACACCTGCTCAGATGGAAAGAGATGACAGCAAACAGGACTACAACATTAGCAGAGGGTCAGACAATAATCCCATCTGCTGCACTGAGGCAATGACAGCTCACTGTCTGCAATCGCACTGAACAACAACTTTATATGTAAGAGTGGACACTAACTGAAACTGAGTAAACTGTTATTGGAGTATTTCAGAGCCATTCATTTTCCTTTTTCCCAATGTAAGCTTTCACTGAAGCAGCATACTCCGCTACAGTTGAAATCACATCAGTAATGACCACAGTACGAAGCCACACAGCATCATCAACTAGACAACTGTGATCACATTCACAGTGAGCACAGAAAAGGAAAGCCATCTGTCTTAATTTTGGTCATGGCTATATGCAAAACTCTCACGAGCCACTACAAAATATTCTTGTCTCGCTGTTTTATGTTGGGGCAAAGCTGTGGTTAAGGTCTGGTTAGGTTTAGGCACAAAAAGCACTTGGTTTGGGGTTCGGAAAGATCATGGTTTGGGTTAAAATGATCTCTTGACATGGAACATGAAATCTTGTGGGAGCTTTTACGAATCTGGGGTTACCACCTAAACACAACCCTTAACTTTGTTTGTCCATTTTATAATTTCAGAGTTTTCCACTTGAAAAATGAGCGCTTCCTGACATGTTCTTTCTTTACACAGTTAGTTTACAGACCAATAATAAAAGCTGTGAATGATGACAGTGTGCAGGAGTTTACTGCTGACACACCTTTAATGCACCTGTCAGATGTCATAATAAAAAAATTTGTATAGCACTTCTCAAAACCAGCATCAAAAGTGCTTTATAACAAACACAACAATAAAATTAATAGTTAATATTTGACAAACCAGGCAAGCATAAGAAAAAACAGGCATAAAAAATAAACTTAAGAACAACGGATAAATTAAAAAC